CAATACCGGGACGGAAAGCAGGACTGCTGGCACGCATTCGGTTGCTTTTAGGCGGGGTGGCGGGGTAACTGAATTGTTTGTCGGACCGGACTGCTCCTATTGAAGTTTTTAAGTTTTCGAGTTTTAGGCAGCCAAAATGCGCCACACCTATGGATGGCTGACGAAGGAGGCGACCAAAGGCAAACCAGCCACAAATCACTGCCGAGGAGGCTGTGGCACAAGAGAACCTGTCTGGACAATCTCACGTGGACTTTATGCAAGCACTTTATCTTGTACACGGTGGCTATGGCGCGTCGCGTCTGTCGTGCAAACGACCAGGGCTGTGAGGCGGTAGTCATGAAGAACAGTAAGCAGTCCCCACTCCCCACAGCACAAGTCCCGCCGAACCTGGATTGGAGCGCAACAGCAAACCAACGCCCACAACCACCTCACCAAGCTGAGGTCAAGATTAGAACTTCCGCACATGACCTGTTCCCGGTTGAGTCCGGTATTTTTGATGGTTGGCGCCCACGGCCTAGAAGGACGGTGGTGCCATACAAGGGGTCGCGGACGCTTCTGTCAACGTCAACTGTCGACTCCCACCCAGTCGGCGTGTCAAGCCCAAAGATCCCAGCCACCACGCCGTCAGCCAGCAGCCTTGGCTGCGTGGGACCAAGGGTGGCACCGACCCCCTGACAGCCCTACAACGACCGCCCGGAATAGAACCAGGGTCTGCGCCACCCCGCCCTCCCTGACACCACCACCAGGAGGGGACCAACAGTCTGGGAAGCGCCCACGCGCCGCCCGATCAGGGTGGTGTCGGTCCCGGGATTTACGCAGGCAGGAGCAATAACGTCGGCGGGGGGTTGCGAGCTGGCATGGATTCTGCACCGCCGCATTGGACGGCTGTTGGCGTCGACGGCAGTTGATGGAATTGTTCGAATGGGGGTTGTCGAAAGCGGGTGCCGGCGCGTGTCGCGATTACTGATTACTGGGACAGGGCATCTTATGGCATGCCGCTTGCGGTATCCCACACACCCATCAAAATCATGTCTCTCCCGCCCACCATCCGGAGCTTCGCCGGCTCACCTGGCATGTGTGTCCGCGCTTGTATATAACAGCAAGAGCGGGATCCCCTAGATCGTGCCGGCAGAAACGAACAAAAGACATACACCATCTTACACCCTAATCCTTGACTGTATTAAACAGCCGAAAAGCATAAACATATAGGCTTGAACCACTCATCACCCTCGACAGACAACGAATACCAGCAGATAATACGATCCATCATCGCCAGCCACCCGGAAACCAACCAAGAAAGGAAACGCATTATTCGAGGTAGAAACTTGAAAGCTGACAAGCAAAGCAAAGAAATAGCCGACTAATGAGGGTCATAAGCTCAACAGCGCTGCTGGCCGTGGCGGCGGCAGCGGTCCACGCCCTCCCGATAAACTACCCGCCCGGATCCGAACAGGGGTCGCCGCCGGCGCCAGCAACCACGGCCGCCCCGTCCCCGGCGGCCGTGAAGCGTGCGGTAGATCAGCTAACCATCATATTAACGAACCAGCACTCGGCGGCCATCACGACGCGACACGCCATCGAGCCGGGTGTGCCCAAGCCGGTCGACCCGCAGCAGAAGGAGGTGAAGGAAGGGAAGATTGAGAAGGGCGCCAAGGGCGTCTACATCGTGAGCCCGAACTACATCGGGTCCGTCTTCGTCAACGACGCAAAGTTCCCGGCCAGCCAGCACTGCACCCAGATCGAGGTCTCGATGAAGCAGGGCAAGAAAGGTTTCGACATTAGCAACGTCACTGGCTTCACCCTCCCCATCATCTGCGGTTGCGAGGCTGCTGACGGCTCCATATACGAGAGCGGTTGCGGCCACGACCTGGTCGGCGACGCCAAGAAGGACCCAGCCAAGGCATGCAAGGTACGTTCTTCACTCTTTATCCCTTTCACCTTGAGCTAATGGAGCATGTCGCTAACGTGTGCACAATGTGAAGAACTGGATCCAAAGCGAGAATGCCTGCGCAAACCCGAACCGAGACAACACCAAGGCATCCGGAAAGTTTGTCCCGGCACCCTTCTTCGAGGCCTGCGCGCGCGAGTCGTACACTTATGTGGACGACCACGACGCCAACCGCTGGGACTTTTGCAAGAAGAACACGCTGTCGTGCTGTGTCGGCCCCTCGTGCCCAAAGCGCGTTCCCTACAGGCCCAAGGGGTCGCCCTCTGCCCCGGTGCCCTCGGCCCCGCCCGGTACTCGGCCAAAGGACGGTTCCCCCAACCCTCCTGGCCCTGGAGCTCCTCCGGCCCCTGGAGCTCCCCCTGCTCCTGCCCCGCCAGCCCCCGCCAACCCGAAAACCCCTCCCCCGCCACCGTCTCCCCCGGCTCCTGGACGGCCAGAGGGGAAAAAGGCAAAGGGCCGAAAGAGCCCGAAAGGTCCCAAAGGTCCCAAGATATAATCGTTTGAGTATCTCCCGTTCAGTATTACACCCTTGATCAGACATGATACCCCCATTCGTTTGTTCCTTATTTCTTGGTTCCTTCAGTTCCCTACCAAGTTTCGTGTACACACAAGGCTAGGCCTTTTGCATTCTCATGGCTTTTGCGCTTCTCTTCTTGTTTGTTATTTATACGTCTGCATATTCCCGTCATGTTTATCCTTATTCCTTTATGTATTTTTATTTTCAGTGTATTCTGCCTGCCGCGCCATAAAATCCAGCGGAGCCTGGTGCTTGTGTTTAAAAGTTTATAGATAGAATGGGTCGCACGCAAGGACGACATGACAAAAAGTGTCGTTTGACAATCAACGCGTCTGGCGTTTGCAAACGCGTCAAAAACATCGTGAATCACGTCATGGTGGGCCCTCAGGTGAGGTGTGGACCCTTGACCGACGGGGATCAGAGTCTGCGATGAAGCACACCGACACCCACCCAGCTATGGGTTGCGCAGGGTAACGGGTCCAGCCGGGAAGGGACAGACGGGGGAGAAATTTTGCTTCTGGAAATCGAACGAGCTTTATTTTCCAGACCGCCGAGCACCAGAACACCTTCACTCACTCCACCGCCATCAAGCCCGGTCACCACTCCCCAGTTCCAGTCCTCCAAGTCTCGCGCAAACCACACCTGTCTGCCCACATCCACGACACTAGCCACAATGTCGTCCGCCTTTGTTCAGCGTCCTGCTCCGGACTTCAAGGCCACCACGGTCTTCCCTGGAGGCGAGTTCAAGGACATCTCGCTGTCTGACTACCTGGGCCAGTGGTACGTTTGCTCCCCCACCCAAGTCCCTTGAGGGCAAGAATGGGGTGCCAAAAAGCAGCGCACTAACACGGCCTAACTACAGGGTCGTCCTCCTCTTCTACCCCCTCGACTTCACCTTTGTCTGCCCGACCGAGATCATCCAGTACAACGACGCCCTGCCCAAGTTCCGCAGCATCAACACGGCCGTCCTGGGTGTCTCGACCGACAGCCACTTCTCGCACCTGGCCTGGACGGAGCGCGCGCGCGCCCAGGGCGGCCTCGGCCCGGACCTGCAGCTGCCGCTGGTGGCGGACAAGTCGATGTGCATCTCGCGCAGCTACGGCGTGCTGATCGAGGACGAGGGCGTGGCGCTGCGTGGCCTCTTCATAATCGACCCCAAGGGCGTCCTGCGCCAGATCACGGTCAACGACCTGCCCGTCGGCCGCGACGTCGGCGAGACGATCCGGCTCGTCGAGGCCTTCCAGTTCACCGACGAGCACGGCGAGGTCTGCCCCGCCGGCTGGCAGAGCGGCGCCAAGACCATGAAGCCCGACCCCAAGGGCAGCCTGGAGTACTTTGCCGCCCAGAACGGCGTCACCAACGGCAACGGGATCGCTAAGCGCGCCCGCCTGGAGTAGCTGGAATGTGGGGAAATCGGCTAAACCTTGCGATATAATGGTAATACAACTAGAAAGAGTGACGGACGCTTCAGGGCTTGATAGACTAGACGGGGCTAGATGAGACTCTAGTAGACATAGAGTTTAGAAGCAAATAACGGATCCTTCTTCATCCGCCCTGTGGTCATACACATCTGTGCGTGACGTCCGCAGGTGACCCGTTGCGAGAGCAGATATTGTTCGTTCAAACATCAGCCACGAAAGCAAACTGAGAGGGGGCTGCTGTATATAACCGGTGCGCGCGCGCTCAGCCAGAGGACGGAGCACGAAACCACGGTCCCACCGATGACTGCGCGCACGGGACTAGCTCTTGCGTGATTGGGGTCATATATGCCCAGCCATCGCCTGCTCCACCACCCATGGATAGAACCCTCCTCCTCGTGAACTATATACGGGTTATTCCTCCCTAATAAGGGCGATCGTCGTTCAGCATGTAGAGGACTTCTCCAAGCCGGCCAGTACAGGCACCAAGCTCTTGCCACTGGGCCAGGGAAAGCACACGATCCCTACCGCGGGAGGAGAAGATCTAAGATGACACTGAAAAAGGAGGGACCGTGTAATGTCTATAACTTTGCTTGAGTCTCTTTCTACTGGACCCTATATTGATAATGTGTAAACATGCTTCTGGGACTGTCCGAGCTTCTTGCTCCGCTGGGCTCGCAGGGCCGTTTTAGTTGAAACGTTGTCAGGTTTTTCTTTTTGCGTGCTTGGGACGGCGTTGGCACTAATGGGGGGAAGGCGCCGGAAGAGCGCCGAAAATTTTGATACTACCGCATCAATGCCAGCCCACAACTTGGCCCAGGTCCTTGACTTAGAGCCCTCCGGCTTGAGTTCTGCCCTTGAGTACCAGCTTCGATGCCTGCCCATTAACACGACAACAGCAGATACGTGACACCTCTCCCCCAGTCTCAAACACGCACGATAGCACCCGGACTTTTGTTTCCCTCAACTCTCCCTACATATACATTCCCCGCTCAGCCTCTGCGTCTTCCTTCCGCTGGTAGCAAGGACACAACGAGATACCACAAGCAAAGCACCGTGACCAGAAAGCATCATGGGGTCATTCGGCTGCCTACCACCCGAGCTCCTCGATCCCATATTGGGACAGCTGGACAGGTCTGATGTGTCGCGGCTGAGCAGGGCCTGTCGCGCCCTCCACGCCGCTTTGGTTCCCCGTCTCTTCGAGCACCTTGTCATGGATGACACCTCCCGGTCGGCCGACTCAGCATATCTGGGGGCGCAGAGCCACGGCGGCGCCACCAAGTCCCTCAGCCTAGACATCACCTACAACGAGTGCACCATCGTTGGTTGCTGCATCGCCGGTCACGATCTCACGAGATGCCCGTTCCTCGCCGCAAACTTTGGCATGGGACTCCCGCCAAGCGCCGAGGCGCTCCTGTCGGGGCGGTTCCTCCCGCGCTTGGGCAAGGTCCAGGTTCGGTTCCGGATCACGGACAAGCACCCAACCCTCTACTATAGAGCCTGTCCATCAGACAAGGGCCCTGACTGGAAGTTCCCGGACATGGTGGATGTCGCCCAGGCAGCCATCACGAGCCTGCGCCAAAACAAGACCATCGAAAGCCTCGTGCTCACCGACTATCCTCCCTTCAACCCCCTCGAGTTTCTCCACACGCCCGAGGACACGGCGAGCTGGACGGGCCTGCTCGGGCGCCTCGACGAATTTTCCCTCTCGACCTTTCGGCACGCGACCCATCGTATACCCGATGACGACACCCATGATGCCAGCTTCCAGGACGGCATGCCTGCGGCCTTTTTCGACCATCTCCGATCTGTCCGGAGGCTCGCCATCTCCCACTCAACCGAGCGGCGTTTTGTCATTGGAGTCGCCCCGTGCCGGCCCCAGCCTTTCGTCCATCTTCGACGGGGTTTCATGCCGTGTTTGGAGGAGTTGGAAATCGGCACCGTCATCCTGACACAGGAGCTCGCAAGGTGCCTGATCGATGTGGCCACGAAGCCCCTGAGTCTGATCCTGAGAGGCACCAGCAGGGCGAGTTTACATTACATAGTCATCGGAGTCGTCACCTGGAAGCAGTTCTTCGGCCTGCTGGTCGACGGACGTGCTTTCGTTCGCGGCTTGAGCCTGACTCTGGGTAGCGGAAGGCCTGGCCGTCCCGGCCTCAGACGGCTGGCAGTGCAAGAACCCGTCGGTGCTCACGAAAGGAGAGCGCAAGAGCCCGGGCGGGCGTCATTCCCGTATCACAACATTTTTGTCATTCCCCGCTCACTCGACGACCGAGACAGTCCCAAGGTTTCACTGCGGGAACTGTTGTCGTCCTCACTACTCGATGCTGGAGGCGCAGTTGAAGGCAGCGGAGCCGCCATGGCCGCCTAACGGACAGTCTCTACAGCGATACTTGATTGGGTCACAGGCTACTCTGGGAGGGAGCTTAGATAGAGCATGGGTTTTTAGCTGATCCGTTTGTCCCTGGCCCCTGCTTCAAGTCAGGGACAATCTGATACACGGCCATTCGCGCTCCCCCTCGAAATAATGTCATCCTCCATTGCCTAAGCCTGTCCAGAAAGAAAAATAGATGTGATTGTGAAATGCCGAAAGCGAATTCTGTCGATGAGGTCTGACGTCAGAATTAGGGGTGTATGTGTTTGTGACGCGGGGAAAGATGGAGGGCAGCTGATGTAGACCGTGTCGCCGACCCCGCCGTGCTTATCAATCATCAGACCTTGGAGGATATAAAGACAAGCACTTCGGTGCATGGCACAAAACACCCATCACCATCACATTTTCGCAGTTAGCATCCTTTCCGGACAGATGTCTGTCGAAACCAGGAACTTCTATCCCGACCTCGAGCGTCATGTCACGCCGACGGCATCGGGCTCTCAGGTTGTCAGCTACGTGCATGACCTTGGCCCAAGCCGCCCCATCCTGACGCTGATCCACGGCTATCCTCAGTCTTCGTTGATGTAAGGACCGTCCGGGTGTGTTTCTTGGTGTAATTGCCTTTTGAATATGTGCTAAAAGTTTTTAGCTGGCGTTATGTATGCCACCCATCCAACGTCGTCCGGACAAGAATAGAGCCTCCCATTGCTGGTCGATTCTTTCCCATATCACCCACACACCCGCCACTGACATTGGTCGTGAAAACGACCTAGATCGTCCCACAGCTGAAGCAAAAGGCATCTCTCTTCATCCCCGAGCTCCCCGGCTACGGCATCAGCACCCCGTCCGACAAGCACAGCAAGCTCGAGGTCGGCCGCGCACTCCTCGAGGCCCTCATCTCCACCTTCAAGCTGCAGCCCGGCGAGGCGGCGGCCCCGCGCACCGTGATCCTGGGCGGGCACGACCGCGGCGCCCGCATCGCGCACCGGCTGGCCGTGTCCCTGTCGCACGACCCGGCCTTTGCCCAATCCTCGGGCGCCGGCGGCGGCCTACTGCGCGTCGCGGGCGCGGCGCTCCTCGACATCGTGCCGACGCAGGCGCAGTGGGCGGCGTTCGCGGACCCGGTCTCGTCGCGCGCCTACTTCCACTGGCCGCTGCTGGCCAACGTGGCGCTGGCGGTGCCGCTGATCCGCGCCTACGGCGGCGCGCGCTGGTGCCGGCAGTCGCACGCGCTCGTCGCGGGGTCGGACGAGGCCGGGCGCGCCCGCGTCGTCGAGGCCGACGGGGCGGCCGACGTGCACGCCGAGCTGTTTGAGCGCGAGGAGACCATCAGGTGCTCGTGCGAGGACTACGCGGCCGGCTCGACCGTGGACGTCGTCGAGCAGGTCGCGGACCAGGCCGCGGGCCGCAAGCTGGACGTGCCGACGCTGGTCCTGTTCTCGGCCGCGGGGATCGGTGGCCGCATGGACGTTGCCGGCATCTGGAAGGACTGGGTCGCGCCCGGGGTCGAGCTGGAGGCGGTGGCGGTCGGCGGGGGGTATGGGCATTACCTGCCCGAGGAGGCGTGTGATGATGTGCTTGAGCACCTCTCCATGTTCCTCAAATCGGTGGCATGATCAACGCTGCTTCGGTAATAGGAAAGTGGAAAAGAATTCATTATACTGCTCAGGTGTCCAGACGAAGCTGGCAGGCTCGCCGTGGTATGCAACGAAGAGCCATAGATTGTTATTCAGAACACTACGGTAGCATGAGGTGACACTGTCGGTCAGATGCTTGCCTAAAATACAAGATACAACCTCAATCTGGGAGTTGTGTGAGCATGTCCCCTTTCAATCTTCACCCTTACTTAGACAAAGTACAGCTCGCCGTTGCGGTTGCCGATGCGCTCGTCGAGAGCGATCCAGGCCCGCGTCCAGTTGCCGCCGCGCTCCAGTTCGCACTCGAGCTTTCTGCCGCCGTCGGCGAGGCGGACGTCCCTGGCCGAGGCACCAAAGTTGCCACGGCCGTCGCCGCCGCCGCCGCCACCGCCGCCACCACCACTACCCTGCGAGCCGGGGATGGCGAGCACCTGGCCCGGGTAGATCATGTCGGGGTTGGTGATGTTGTTGTGCCTCGCGATGGCGTCAAACGACGTGCCGGGGAAGCGCGCCGCGATGCCGCGGAGCGTGTCGCCCTGGTTGACCGTCACCGTCGAGGGCCCGCAGCTGTGGTTGCCGCCGCCGCCGCCGCCACCGCCGCCGCCCGCGTGCCAGCGCAGGTAGCCGCCCTCGTTGGCGACGTACCTGCTCAGGCTGATGGAGCTGTTGTTCCACGAGCCGTCGCCGCGCCGGCACGACGCCCGCAGCATCCAGTCGCCGTTCTGGTTCTCGAGCCGGATGTCCTGGGCCGAACCCGAGAACATGCCGGCGTAGTCCTCGCCGCCGCCGCCACCACGCTGCTGCTGCTGCTGCTGCTCGTGTTGGGGCCGGTGCTTCTCGTCCTGGCGGCGCCTCTCGTCCTCCTCGCGACGACGGCGCTCCTCCTCCTCGCGGCGCTTCTCTTCCTCCTTGCGGTCGTGCCGATCGTCCTTCCACTCCTCGGCCTTGTCCTGCATCTTGTGGCCCGCGAAGGCGCCCAGCGCCACGCCGGCGACGGTGCCCAGCACGCCGTGTCCGGCCTTGCCGCCGAGCTTGTTACCGCCGAACCCGCCGGCGGCGCCGCCCGCCAGGGCGCCGGCGAGGCCGCGCTCCCCATCGCCGCCGCCGGGGTTGAAGTCCGACCCGGGGGGCCTGTTGTGGCCTTGGCTGCCGCCGGTGCCGTATGGCAGGTGCTGCTGCTGCTGCTGGGGAGGGCCACCGTGGCCGCCGGGGTTCTGTTGGTAGGGCGGCGGGCCCTGGCCTTGGTTCTGGCCTTGGGTGTAGTAGGACGAGGCAGCGCCGCCGCCCTGGTTCTGCGGGGGCTGGCCGTATCCTTGGTTCTGACCGTAGCCCTGGTTTTGGCCATGGCCTTCTTGGTTGTACGACATGTCTGCTGGTGGTATGCTCGGGTGGTATTTCGAGTGGAGATGGGGAAGATGGATGCTGGATGCGAGGGGATGATGGAGGCAGTCAGCGTCGGTTTCCAGGACCCAACGCGGGGTCGAAGCTGGGGAATAAATACCCCTTGGGGTTCCCTGACGCAAGCAGCAAACAGTGCCTAACCTTTGCCACACCACCCACAGCTATGAGATGGCCTTGTTGTGGTGGGGAAGCTTGCGTAGGACGCGTTGCCAAGCTGGTCCTTCTCACATGCGCAGGCGCTAGGAACCAATCCGGCACCCCAAATGTTGGGTGGACCCTGCTCCTGGGTCCGACCGTCGATCCATCTTTTGGGGCGGTTTTCCCACTTGGGCCCCTTCTCCTTGCTGGTTGGGGAGACTCAGCCGCAGCAGCCGGAGAGCTTCGTGTTCGTTTGCTACGACTGGTGGGCTAAGCAGCGGCAGTGCGGACAGAAGCTCCATAAAAGCTCCATGCAGGAACTATGCGTGTGGCATCAGGTTGTGAGTAAGCATAATTCGCGGCATCGACCCACGATGGTCCACCATGTCCACCATGATCCACGATACTTCAATCACTTTGGCCAAAATTTCAGCTAACAAAAGTAAAGGTCATTCCTGGACTTGTTGCGCAGCACTCCGCTCGATCCAGGACTGCATTGCAGTTATTCACTGCCTTCCAGGCTCAGATGTAGAAGTCAGGTCTTGCGCCGCGGAACCGGAACGTCTCCGTTGATATCAGCGTCGAAAGTCAGGAAACTCGCATCCGCCCCTGCCGCTTGAAACAACGCCGGCCAAGCCACGGACTTGTCTAGAAAGCCAGCGTGACTAACTGCCCAAAGACCCACACCTGTCCTTGCCGTCTACCTTCTGGCCGCGGAAATGAGCTTCGCCGACCAGCTGCACCCCCCGTTACGACGAACGGGCGCCTCCGTTGTCATCCAGGTCTTCTTGACTCGGCAACCCCAGGGAGACGAGGTCCAGGTGCTGAACTACGACATGGGCTCCCCCAATGGAATGATCATCACCAACGTCCAGAAGGATCCGCAGTGTCCTATGTGGCCCAGCGACTTGATAAAGCACGAGTTCGCGTTCAAATCCCAGCAAGACGTCTCCAAAATGAAATTCATCCAGTTCAACATCGTGACCAACACCCCAGCAAGAGTAGCGGTTATGAAGGCCGTAACGGCTTCTGGGTGCTCCTTCGATGGTCGCCGTCGCTTTTATCCAGGCCAACCCGGCTTTGATGAGCTCGTAACAAACAACCCTCTGACATCTCTGGCCAAAAGGGCAAGTGAGAAACAGATTTCCTGTGTGGAGGTCTGTGGAAATAATCTGGGACATGCCCAAATGCAGCTTCATTCAATGCTTGTCCGTTTCCTTTAATCGTTACACACCCTGATACCCAGCCTATACCTTCGAGCGGTCTTTCTGTTCGGAGCTGACGGCGCATTCCGACATTTAGTAGCCAAACGTTGTCTAGTCTTGTAATAATTCCCGGCGTACTAAATTCAAAGATATCTCTATACCATGAGCAGAATGTCAGCCAAACCACCAGCTATCTCGTCTTTTGCCCAACCTGCTCCAGTAGCTTCACCACCGCCTGCTCCCCACCCTCCCTCGCAGCGAACAGGCACGGCCTTCCGGCAGCATCCTTCGCCGATGGGTCCGCCCCCCTCTGCAGCAGGTAGCGCACCGCCTCGACCCTCCCCCTTAGCGCGGCGCGGTACAGCGCCGTACCGACCCTGCTCGCTCCAGAGCTGGCTCCCCACCAGTGCACCGCCGCCTCCAGGTCGACGGCCGGGTCCTCCTCGGCTAGCACCCGCAGGGCCGCGAGGTGGCCGGCCTCGGCGGCAACGATGAGCGCGCCCTCGGCCGCCGCGCCCCTCCAGCCGCCGCGCAGCAGCGCCCGGAGCACGGGCACGGCCGACTCGGCGCCGGTCCAGCGGTCGGGCGGGTCGACCTGCTCGAGCTCGCGCGCCAGTGCCCCGTCCTCGTCCTCGTCCTCGTCGTACGCGAGACCCCCGTCCCCGTCGCCGGCCGGCTCGAGGTCGCGCTGGATGGCGCCGATGGCGGCCGTCTCCTCGCTGTGGATGCTCGAGTAGCCGCTGTTGGGGTCGACGCCGGCCCGCTCGATCAGCAGGGTCGCAAGCTCGGCGTTGCCATGGATGCCGGCCTGCACCAGCGGGTCGCCGACCGACTCGCTGTAGCCCTGCTTCGATATGTCGTAGCCGCGGTCCAGCAGCAGCGTCCACACGGCCGTCGAGGCGCCCCAGCAGGCGTAGTTGTAGAACCAGTGGGTGGCCAGGGGCTCGGCGTCCTTGTCGGTGTGGTCGAGGCACCACTCGAGGATGCCGGCCCTGTCGCGGTATGCCGCCTGCTGGGCGATGAACTGCGAGAGCTCGTTGCGCTGCGCCACGGGCCATTCGCCGTAGAGCTTCTTGACGGCATCGAGGTCGCCGGCCTCGATGTGCGCCTGCATCTCCTTGGAGATGGGGTTGTGAGGGTCAGGCGCCATGGTTTCCATGGGCGCGATTGGTGTGGTTTAAATGTGGGCTGCAAGGGCTCTCGGGTGAGTTATTGATGTTGGTCGATGGTGAAATTCAAAGTCGTCTTGAACCTCGGCGTTCTGGCAATCATGGGAGGGTTTGGGGGCGAAGCTTGAAATTCGCATGCACGCGCCGAATACGCCCAGTTATAGTATCTGCATAGGTAAGGTAGGTAGGCCACTCTATTGTGTGCTACAATCCCTTCTATTATTAGGGTGAATCACGGCTTACATGCATGAGGCCAAGGAACTGCGACCTCCAGGTCCCTTCAGCTGGTTCGCACCCGCCCCCCCTTGGCCATTCCTACCTGGCACGGCCTGGTTTACTATTGCCGGAATCCCGTCGTGGCATTACAGTAACGATAGGACAATTATATTCGCAAGGAGCTGGAACGCGCTCAACACGTCTCATTCAGCCAGTATTCGCTGCCCCTGGGGGAGTGATATCGCTCCTCCCAGCTCCCTCTGGGCTGTTTTGGTCGATAGTAAGTTTGGTGACACTATGATATATGGACAGGTGCTTCTTCACCAGATAAAAGGCAGCCCATCCCAGACACAGCAAGTTATACTAGACCCAGAGTGCATTATTGGATACGCTGTATCATCTTTTCAGCAACTGCTTCATTTGAGCCATCAACCCTTTTTCTTACCTTTCCAACTGCCTTGGCCCTTCGAACCTGATCCGCTGGGAGCGAGGCGCCAAAATGACTCAAAACAATGACAGTCGTGGAGCCAGCCTCTTCCGGATTCTCCTCCTTTTGGGAGCGCTGGCTCTCCTAGGCTCGGCCGTGCCCATCACGGCTCCAGACATTGGTGGCCTAGGCGCTATCACCGACGGTAGCCTTACTGATTCTGCCGAAATTCTCGCCGCTGCACTTCACAAAGACCAGACGGACCTTTCCAGAAGGGGAATTCTCGACTTCTTCAAGAAGCCCAAGAACCCGGGCCCGCAGACGCCGCCTCCTTCAGGCCCTGCTCCGATACCGAATAAGCCTGGAATTCTCGATGGTATCAAGAACATTTTCAAGCCCAAGCCCAAGCCAAACCCGGCCCCGGCCCCGCAGACGCCACCACCTGCAGGTCCTGCTCCGGCACCTAAGAAACCTGGAATTTTCGATAAGATCAAGGACATTTTCAAGCCCAAGCCCAAGCCAAACCCCCCCACTAGCAACCCCCCTACTAACAACTCCCCTGCTAACAACCCCCCTGCTAACAACCCCCCTGCGGCTAACCCGAAATACCCCAGCGGAGGGGAGCTGACCGCCATAAAAGCCGATGTCCAGCGGCTCGCGCCCTACTCCAAGCCGAACCAGCCGCCCGCCGACAAGTCCGTCTTCTTCACGGGCACCGGGGGTGCGCAAAAGAGCAACCAGATCAAGGCGGCCATCAAGAAGGAGGGGCTCACGCACCTGGGCATGATCTGGAAGGAGCAAGACAATTTCCTGGTCCGGAAGAACTACAGGGCCGAATCACAGCCCGCCTTTGACCAGCTCATCCGGGACATCTCAAAGTTCTTCGCCAACCGGACAAAGGGGAAGAGGGCGTACCTGGTCATGTCGCACCGTGCGCAGGCCGCCAGGAACAGTATCTTTTGGAGCGTCGAGCTCGACGAGCTGATTAACGGCAACCATATCGACACCATCGTCTGGCTCGACACGGACAAGTGAGTCTTTGCTACCTCCCCCATTCCATAGTCCGATCGTGATAGTATGTGACACTGACAAAACCGCACTTTCAACCGTAAGGGTACTCACGGATCCTACGTACGACTGGAATGCAGAAACAGAGGTTTACTGGCAACGTGGGAAGCCCAAGCCGCCGGGAGTTTAGGCACGGAGAGGTAAGTAAGAAACAGTCAGCAGGGAGATGGGAGGAATAGGGGAGTCATGGAAAGAATAGAGTAGGAACAAATAAACAAGGGATGGCATGTTCGGCCTGGACAAAAACCCAATTTCTTGAGCCTGAATGATACTGCGGGATGCAAACAAGAGAAAAAGCAACGCCGTATTTCTTGGTGAGTAGAATCATGACTTGTTCATACAGGACTGGATAGGTTGTAGCGCTCAAACCTGGCGTTGAGATAGCCATTCCCACCTCTGCATCACACCCCCACTCACCCCCAACACACACACACGCCCCCCCCCTCAGCACAGGGACCCGTACCCGTCCAGGATCAGCGCGCTCCCGTTGAGCGCCTTGGCGGACCTGTCGGCGCGGGCCTTGATGGCGGCGACGACGGCGGCCGTGACCTGGCGCGTCGAGGCGCGGCCGCCCAGGTCCGGGGTGGCGACGCGGCCCTCGCACACGGCCTCGACGCACTCCATCAGCTGCGCGGCCGCGTCCTTCTCGCCCAGCCACTTCAGCATCTCGGCCGCGGTCCAGAAGGTGGCGACCGGGTTCGCGACCCCCTTTCCGACGATGTCAAAGGCAGAACCGTGGATGGGCTCGAACATGGAGGGGCTGCGCCGCGTCGGGTCCAGGTTGCTCGTCGGCGCGATGCCGATGGAGCCGGCGAGGGCGGCGGCCAGGTCCGAGAGGATGTCGGCGTGCTGTTTTTTTTTTGTGGGTTAGCAGAGTCGGTCAGTCTCTTTGCCATCCGCTTTGGGAAGTGGTTGGCAGCAGGAAGAAAACAAACAGGATACGCACCAGGTTCGTGGCGACAATAGTGTCCAGGCTCTCGGGCTTGAGCACCATGCGCGCCGTCATGGCGTCGACCAGCATCTTGTCCCACGTCACCTCGGGGAACTCGCGCGCCACCTCGGCCGCCACCTCGTCCCACAGCACCATGCCGTTGCGCTGGGCGTTGCTCTTGGTCACGACGGTCAGCAGGCGGCGGGGGCGCGACCGCGCCGTCAGGAAGGCGAACCGCAGCAGCCGCTCGACCCCCTGGCGCGTGAAGATGGCCACCTCGGTCGCCACCTCGTACGGCTGGCCCCGGTGCGAGCGGCCCCCCTGGCCCGCGTACTCGCCCTCGCTGTTCTCGCGCACGATGACCCAGTCCAGGTCGCGCGGCCGGCAGGCACGGAGCGGCGACTGCGTCCCGCGCAGTACCCGCGTCGGCCGCACGTTGGCGTACTGCTGGAACGTCTGGCAGATTTCGAGCCGGAGGCTCCAGAGGGAGATGTGGTCGGGCACGTCTTTTTTTTGTTTTTCAAGTTTCGGTCAGACTTTTACCGTCGCCCAGGATGCCTGTGTAAAGAAAATATTCGAGCATGTCAACATACCCGGCGAGCCCACGGCGCCAAAGAGGATGGCGTCGTGCTTCCTCAGCTGGTCCAGGCCGCCCTCCGGGATGTACCTCCCGGTCCGCTTGTACGACTCGGAGCTCCAGTCGTACTCTGTGAAGTGGAGGTCGAACGTGCCGAGTGACTGCGCCAGCGCCTGCAGCACCTCGATGCCCGCCGAGATGACCTCGGGCCCGATGCCGTCGCCGCCGATGGAGGCGATGCTGTAGCTTTTGCGGGCCGGACCCCAGCCGTTCGTCGTCTTTCCGACCGCGGACGGAGCCATGATGGCGTCTTTTTTTTGGCGTGTCGGCAGCCCTTCGTGGATGGATGACGGTCCAAGTGGAAAGTTTGGGTGTGGACTCGGTAAACAACCAAGTACCAAGCGCCCTGAAGGCCGTGTACCCCCGAGAAAGGCTAAAGCCACGCCGCAAAAGTCTGGATACAAACGCAATTTCCCACCAAAACTTACAATTTTCGAACGCAAATAAAATAGCAAAATAAAATCGTAAAAATACATAATAAAATTTATTTCCGTAATGTTTTACAAAAATTTTAACATATATTTTTTCTAAATTTTTTAGCTTATCGTAAGCTTGTAAAAAGCTTGTTTAATTTGGAACTTTAAAATGCGTGCGCTATAGCTGGATTTAGCATCCCCTAAAAAGCGCTGTAACGATTTTTTTGCATTGGGGTAATTTTCCACGCGCAATAATGCACGTTTTCGGCACATGGACAACCCAACTTTTAATATATATTATAATAACGATTCCAAATTATTACTTTTACTTAAAGCTTTTATTTTAACATTTATGTTCGATTTGATATAGCGGTTGGAATGTGTTGACTTTTGTATGTAATTTGGTGACGTGTATTCAGACTTTTGCTGTGGGACTGTACCTGCAGGCCGCTCGGGAAAGTTTATATATATATAATCGGATCTGGTTTCCGCTACGGCCAGCGCCCAGAGGCTTGTGATGCTTGGAAGGGGTGAATGGTCTGCAAGCCCGCCATCATGCGCCTTGAAACGAGCGAGCCGGGCTCCTCTTATGACGAGGAGGGACACCGCGAGCCGAGCTCGCCTCCCCTCGGCTGCTCTTGCTGGCGAACCTTCCCTGGCCAAGTCTCGATGTGGGGACCGTTCGGCTTGGTTGAGGCCTTGGGCCAAGTGCCGTTCCCATTAGATTAAAAAGCACGTCCGCGGCGCCCATTGGCCATGGGCTTCCACCCGGGTATCGTCATTCCCACCTGTCACGCTCAGCCTTGGCCCCGGGCGCCCGGCCGGGGCAGCGGAGGTTTGGGGGAGGTGCGGGGAAGGCGAAATGGTGGGGGAGGGTAATTCACGTCGGCAAACCCGGCCGTGTCGCTCGCCAGACTTGCCGCATCGCGCCTACAGCAGCTACGCCGATGGGAGAAGTGGCATCTGTCAATATCGATTAATAAGAATGGGCTAACTCGCAACGGCTACCCCGCCTCTCTTCATTTACTTGGCATTATTCGCAAAGGGGGGAGTAGAATGAGAGAAAAGCAAGCCGCTGAGCCGCAAAGATGAACACAGCGAGAATGTGCCGTGCCGAGTTCCCCAATGCAACCAAACCCCCCACTCGCCAAGGCGGAGAGACGTGACGAGCCAGAAACCCAAAAGGCCATATTGATGATAGGGGCGCGTCAGACAGACATGGCCGCCCGGTGCATAACATCGCTGCTCCTGAGCCCGACCCAGAACCACAGCGCGCTGATCACCGTGGCCACCTCCCAGTCGCGGCCCAGAGCACCCGTCAGGCCGGGCCCGAAGAAGGCGACCACAAAGGCGTTGGTCCACGAGATGGATGCGTTGTAGCACACCACCGCAAGAACGTCTCCCGCGTCGTCGCCGTCGGTCCGGGTCAGCTCCCACCCAAACATCATGCTCGCTCCTGACAGCGCCGTGGCCCAGTCGCCGCCCCTCGCCCTGCGCCAGCAGAACTGCTGTTCCTCCGTCGTGTCGCCGACATGCACGACAAATCCGCGCGTCGCGACATTGAACCACACCACATTCTCCTCGGCGACTTTGCTGGTTGGGCGCTCATGTGGGATGACAATGTTGAGGTAGGAGCCTGTGAACCGACCAATGCTGTTGTTCCTATCGAGCCGGCCTATGACGGCAGGCTGGTGCTGTTCCCGCCGGGACCAATCCTCGTCGTCAGTAGGATCAAAGCCGATGACCCGCATATCGAACAGCTCAATCAGAGTATTGCTCGTCAGGCCTGGATGCTCAACGACAGTGAAGAGCTTCTGATCTGTCGAGGGACCCAAGTGGAACTTCAGATGGGGCTGACTCTGCTGCAGGTAACCGTAAATGACGGCAGGGAAGACGACTAGAGAGGTATTTGTTGATATTGATGCCGAACCTAGCCTGTTGTCAACGCCAACCTGGTAGTCTGCTACCAGGCCCCCGTATTCATAGTTGGGGTAGTTGTCGTAGCAGAGGCTAATACGTGGGTTACACTCGATTTTGACAGGGGCGTCGGCTTCTAGTAGGCTGTCCTCGGTTCTAGCAGGAGAGCTAGGGTCTGACAAGGTCGCATGTTGGCCGGCAGAGGGATCCATCTTCGGCGTCTGCAGCCGGCTGGATCTCCGAGAAGATGCCACAAGTGAATAGACCTGGGGAAGCCTGTCCCGAGGGTCTCATGAAATGGCCCTGGGACTCATTAAAATCTTCGCGAAATAACCGTGTTCTCCTGCCTATCCTAGTGACGTCCAAATTCGCGATACGTATACGGACACGCGTATTCGTGTTCCGCCGGACCGAATCTGGATGCACGCGTGCACTTCGCCACGCGGCTCACGCGAATCTGTCTTAGATGGAGACCGCGGCAGCGGCGTTGGCATTAGCCTGATTGAGATAGGGCCCGCGGGGTTTCAGAGTCTTGTCTTCTGGTCCGCTGGGGCCAAAGAACCAGCTCCAGAAAGAGTGCTCGTCAGGCTCCGGTCGCTGCTTCTCGCTGGAGTAGCCGTACTTGACGGTGCTCCAAAAGAGATCCGTACGGCAGAGCATGAACTCCTGGGCCCAGGGCGGAAAAGCCGCACGCGCCCCTGTTGCCGGCGCCATGGTCTGAGAGGAGGCGGTTGCCTCGCTCCCAACGGTGCTGACCGAGATGGCCAGGTTGGCAGCGTCGACGAGCTCAGGCACAGACACCAGGTCGGCGACCTCCAGCCGGAAGCGGAACCAGAGGAGAATGACGGCTTCCTCGCTGTCGCTTAGCAGTGCGTTTTCATCACCAGGCCAGGCATTGCCTGGCGGGCCCAAGGAGTTCTCGGCGGCCCGGACGGCTACCGAGTTCAGCCGGCGCGGCGTCCCGTTGGGTCGGCGGGGCCTGCCGGGGCCACGAGGCGCGGGCGGAAAGGTCGCGGCCGCGAGCGTTGGCGTTGGCGTTGGCGTTGGCGTTGGGGACTGTTGAGGATAGGCCTGGGGGCTGGATTCTGGTTCGGCATCATGAGCATGAGCAGGGTACAGCGCAGGGTACGGTAGCAGCAAATCCCGGGCGGCCCTCGCCGCAGTGGCCAGGACGGCAGGGTCGGTGGAGGGCACTGGGTCGCGGCGGTAGTCGAGGTGGCGGCTCCCGCGCAGCCAGCGGCAAAGCAGCGAATACTCGACGTTCCAGCGGGCGCAGAGTATACGGCGCGTCTCGGTGGTTTTGCGGCCGGTGCGCACAATCTCGTCCCACTCCAGCTTGGCCAGATCGGCGCGGATGGTGTGTTTCCGCAACACCTCGGGCCAGAGCTGGCCACGGGCATTGTTCTTGCGGCGGTTGATCGGCGACTGCTCCATCATGACCCCACACTGTCACATGCAAGAATGGAGGCGGCAGTTATTTGTTCTCGCTAAACGACGGCATCAGACCAAGGCGGCTCCCCCTCTAACGAGATCTAGAGCAGCGATTTTGTTGTGACGAGAATTTGAAGCCGGAAGTTTGCGTCTAGTTATCGTGACGTGACTTCAGACGCGAAAGTCCAGCATCGGAGAATAATATAGCTTATGTCAGCAAACCCTCAGAGGGATCCACGCGTCGGGTCAGTAGCCTTCCAGGACGGCAGTAGCTCGTGTATTACACTATTATCATGCTTCTATGGCAACAGACCGCGACAGCGATCGACAAAGAAAAACAACGCTCGCTTCCGATCTGCTGAACAAAATGGAAAGGCGTAGAGTGCTAGCCGCCTAGCACCTCCTGCGGCCGAAGCCTCCTCCCATGCGCCGGGCGCCGCCCATCAATCCTCCGCCGCCCATGCGTCCACCGCTCATCATGCCTCCGCCGCCGCCGCAGTGTCCACCACCAATTCCCATGCCGCCTCCGTGGTGGCCTCCTCCGTGGTGGTGGTTGACTACCACGGGGCGCGCACCCATGCCGCCGCCACCGCCGTATCCACGACGCCTGCTGCTGCCGAGTCCGAAGCACATGTTGGTGGTTTGTTGTGGGTGTAGAGACTTGTTTTGTATGTGGTGTGTGTAGTTTTCTGACCAAGCGTCGTCTGGTCAGCTCCTCGGTTCAATCTTTGCCCCACCCTCTGGTATAAGGCTGAATGGCGTACCTTGAGAGGACTGTGTCCTTAAGTTTGTCTGTGGTAGGTTTTTAAAGGGTGGTCTTGTGTGATGTTATCAAGATGATTGTGTTGGCATGATCTAGCAAAACGAGCAGGAGAGAAGAGCAGCAGAACGCTCCTTATCTTTATACACAATCGACTTAAGATACCTTGGGTATCTATCTACAATGACGCCCATCGACCCTAAGGCCGTCGTTCTGGGCATACGTCCCAAGTCTTGTCCTTCGCCGAGAGGTACCATGCGGCAGACCAAGAAAGGGTTCGACAAGAACGTCATGATGTGGTGTACTTGGGACGCTTCGGTGGAGCTAGGGGACGTGAATGCCATCAGCCACAGCCGCCAAGTCGCCCGGCGCGCACAATGACGACCTTGACCCAGGTGTGGCGCCGCTGTAATCAACGTCGACACGGTCGTGCCGTGGGATCTCGGCATGCGAGCAGTCGTCCGTGCCGCCTCAGGACCATTCGCCCAGGAGCCATGCAGGATTTCGGGCAGGGCCCCACTATGCCGTCAGTCAAGAAATAAACAGCATCGAGGCCGCGCGTTGTTCTTTGTTTCGCCATTGATAAACAACATGTCAAAGCCCGCTATCAATCAGCAGCTCCTACCAGTGACCACAAATCTGATGTTTTTTGATAATAAGGTGACTCCCAATGGATTGCTCGACGGGATGCAACCGGTACTTGGTGGGTTGGGTGTGGTGACATCATATCTGCCTTGGCCTCCAAGGTACCCCGATTATGTCACCAGCTCCACCAGCGGCTCCTCTCAACGGCGCCCTCAGGTCGCTCTCCCACGCATGAAGAATAACCTAGGCCGAAGTCGGAGCGGCCCTCCTCAACTGTACATAGATACGGACCAACATTTTCCATATCACAGGTCTTGGTCGACCTGGCCAGACCATCCCGTCCACGTCACGAAACCCCCACCATGAGCTCGCGAGGGGTTGACGGGCATCCTCACTCACCTGGTCTACTTTTACGAGGCAGCAACCCTTGCCCGCGCTCCCTTTCTCGATTCTGCCTACCCCCTCACCTCCACATGCGGCCAAACCGCACGGACAATACCAAAGCCACGGCTCTGGCGGCGTCCATTGCCGGCACCAGGATAGAGCACCAGAAACATTGGGCTCATCCGAAAGGCACGGCAAGCAAGTGCTTTCAAGCAGGAAATCCATGCGCCACGCACTGCTGGCGGTGACTATCATGAGGCACACCTGCCCAAGCCCCCGCTCCCTGTTAGCCCGACCTGGAACTGGTGTACGCGGCCAACCTGGATCGCCCAGGGCCTTTCCAGGGGTGATCCCGAGTAGCGTTGCTGGACAGGCCTTTCAAAGTGCCTTGGATCTTGAGATAACGGTATCAGTTGCGCGAACCCAGCCAGTAATACAGCTCCTGGTGTGACTGTTCTGGACTTTCCAAGTTCTTTGGATTTTCTTGTACCTCGCTTTGCGCCCCCTCCCCCTATACGACCGAGAAAGGAACGGCCGGGCCGACACCACTCTACGCCCAGATGAATCACAGATGTTCTAGTGAACATATCTTGTCACTGCAAATTCTCTTTCTTGTTCATCAGCAATCTCCAGCGAGACCCGTCACACAGAGTGCCAAGACGTCAAGCAGGCAATCGGTGGCTGAGAATGGCCAATTTGGCAAACGGCCAATATGCGTTAATATCGAAATCGAACGGGCCGTTTAGGGCCGCCCAAAACGCAGCACTGCCACTGGGTTGATCCCGGTCGCTGCCTCACCATAAAATCCCCGCGCTGGCATCATCCCTCGTTGCTGATGAGTCGGGCCGGTAGAACTAGACGAGATTTGACTTCCCGGCTCCCCACGCATCCGACTACGGACGGCCTCGCTAGCATCGATGTCTTTACACACACACGCTGGTGACCTTTGAATGTTGTTTTGCCGTGGGAGCGCTTAACTCCCTTATCAGTATGTAAACAAACAGTGAACTAGATGCATCCCCTCACACATTTCCCAAGGTTCTATCAATAACACCTATCCGATGTGGTACTCATCCAGGCTAACCACGGTCCTGGGTTCATGGTCCCGGGAGATGGGTGCGGTAGCCATTCAGGACGGACGTGGGCGCCCCCACGGCCACAGGAATGACAGCGAATTAAGGCCATGACCACAAGCAAACCTCGACCCCCGCTCGAATAGCCTCATCAGCACGGCCGGTTGCTGTTTGAAGACATCCCAGGGGGACGCGCTAGGACCAAACTCAACAACGCCGCCTCCTAATTGGCCACGCGCAACCTTCAGCGACCGAGCTATGCCGCCGTCGTCTCGTGACAGCAAAGATAGAGGGTGGTGGAGCTATAAATGATGGCCGCTGTCGGCGAGGGCCGTTGAGGTGGAGTGTGTGATTCCCAACGGACGTGAGAGGCTTTATGAACCCCGCCATCCCCTGCCGGCGTTTGAGTGGGTTGCTAGATTCGAGCAATACGGAATTCAACAGCAAACATGTCCGAGAACCACCACTCCACGCTCCCGCATCCAACCCTCCGTTTCGGCGGTGTGTCCAACGGCTATGCGACATACACCACGCTTCGGGAGGACCCCGAGCGCCAGCCACTTCTGGCGCAACCGCCGGGCAGCCCATCTCACATGTCGTATCAAAAGATGTTCAACCTGAGCGCCTTCAGCAGCGTTCCCCTTTAGAAGCAGGCCTTCCTCGAGGGTGTTGGCACAAACTCGGCTCCCGACATTGGCATCGTTCCGCTGCTACACCCCCCGCACTACACAAGGCCGAGCGATAGACTGACCATGGGAGCCCCATAATCTCCCGACCCAAAAAAGGAACCTTCCTCCTCGTCTACATCACCACACTGGTGGCCGTAGCGCCCAACGTGCCCAACCCGCCGCCGGACGCCGTCTCGGGCCCCTTTACCACGTCGACGTTCCTGGGGCCCCTGGTGGGCGGCGGAACCACTATCGTGGCCGTCACGGCCGCCATCTACTACTTCGGCCCGCTGACGGGCGGCCACATGAACCCGGTCATGACATGGCGACCTTTATGATCGGCATGGTGTCGCTACCCCGCGCGGTCCTCTACATCGGCGCCCAGCTCGCCAGCGGCGGTCTGGCGGGGCTGATGCTGCGGACCAGCTAGGGCGGCAGCCGCGACTTCAAGGTCGGCGGCTGCTACATCTTTGACGGCGGTAGCATGTCCAGCGACGGCGGCGTTTCAGCCTCTTCAGGCCTCCCCGGGCCCGTGGCGGGGGCCGACGTGGGCGCCGCCTTCGCCGTCGAGTTCGCGGCCTGCCTAGCCTTTATCACCCTCGCGTACGCGGCGGCGCTGGACCCGCGCAACCGGGACGTCATCGGCCCGCGCCTGCCTGGCGCCGTTCCTCGTCGCCTGCATAATGGGCATGCTCGGCTTCGCCTTCGCCTTCACCAAGGAGGGGTTCGGCGGCGCCAGCCTCAACCCGGCCAGGTGCTTCGGCGTCTACGTCGGCAGCAGATTCCCCGGCTGGCACTGGGTGCACTGGCTGGGCCCGCTAGCGGCCAGCATGGCGCACGCTGTCATGCAGTCGCTGATGCCTCCGCCGGGGACAGAGTGGGACGACTCTGCGCTGCTTTGAAGCGGGATGGGAGGAATACGCAGTGCCATGGCATACCTACTGGGCGGGGGTTCTGATGGGGAGATGGACGGGGTTGCGGGAACATCAGGCACGATCCTGCGCGCGATAACGGGATTGCGGCTATATTGCAGGACGGATGAACAGGACTGAAATTCAATATTCACTCCAAATGGAGAGGTCATTGAAAGAAGTGTTATTATCACATGTGACTATTGTTGTAAGCTGCTCCAGGATCCCAAATTTGTATTGCGCCGGGGAGTGAGTGAGTGACAGTGACGTACACAAGGGGGATGCCCGTGGGATATTTTTTGCAGTATTCAATCGTTTTGCTCATCTCATCCTACCATCAAGAAAACTCGACATCACTCAAAGGGCACGAGCTGTCCTCCTCCCTTGCACCTGTAACAAGCTTTTCCACGCAGTGCTTGACACCTCCCACGGGTGGGCGCACGCAAGCAACGCGCAAAGATTAGTGTTTGCACAAGCTCCGAGAGTCCCAAAAATCCGCCTGCCACCTGGGGCTGACTGAGCGTACTGAAACGCGAGGCGTTGGGGTCGACGTCCAAGCTACCATCCCATCCCGTCTGGCGGGCCTGAAATTGGAGAACGCGGCGCAAGGCGTCCGGACCCGGATGAATCTCCCGGGAGGCAGGTCGATTGTACCGCCGCGGGGGGTTGCTATGTAGGTGACCATATACGCTATCGGCAGAAACGATAGTTTTTGAACCCAGGCACGCCCACCACAAAAAAAGACGGCAGTACCCCTGGAGGTCGCAAAGATCAAGTAGAATTGTTGGCGCCGTGAACCTTGCTGTTTATTTCTCTTTTGATTTCGAGTTTCTTTTCGTTTTTATACCCATTCCTGTCCCCATTCCTCGAAGGACTGCCATCCCTTTTGTACTGGGCGTGTTAGGCTACCTCGATGGAGACTAGGGTGATGTTGATCACAGCAAGGGGGGTGGCCTTCTTCCCGTCCCCCTACGCAGATCACGGCATTGCAACCGACAAGACCCTGGAATGCCGATGCGACACTGCGGCTGACAACTGCCAATTCAACCATGACGTCACACCCGACTTCCCCGTGTTACGGCTGCTACTTGGTTTTGAAATTTCCAATCTTGGTGTTGGTCCCGTCTCCATTGGTGGGTTCAGCTCGGCTCCCAGGTGGCGTGGCGGTGGCAGATACGGGAGAGAAACCCAATTCGAGCAGTGAATAGGCGCAGCCCTGGGAGATATTGTTTGCTGCTTGTCCGCAATGCGCTTCCTCCTCGTCCGAACGGTTTTCTCCGGCGGGCGCATCAGTTGAACCAGTCACCTAGGAATAGCACCAGCGCCATTCTCAGGTCGTGTTCGGTTTTTCGTATTCTGTAACCGTGCTTCACGACGATATAACTTGACGGTCCGCGGGTGATGAGCAGGATACCTTCCTCACTCGGCTCTCCCCGCCAATCCCGCCCGCCAAGACAAAAAAAAAAACTTCCCTCCCGTCCCTCCACCCACACACGCAGGCAAACGCCACGGCCCTCTGCTTGGATCCCGGAAGAAAAAAAAAGCAGCCATAATACCGCCGAAGATCCCTTCGCCCCCCCTGCTCCCCGCCAGCCAACAGTGGTGATACAAATCAACACAAACGCCCACACACACACACACACGCTCCCGCCATGCCCTTCCCGTCGGCCCTCCTGCTCCTCGGCGCCGCCCTCGTGAGCGGCTACGCCTTTGTCGAGCACGCGCAGGCGACGCTGCGGCTCAAGTTCAAGTACGAGGACAAGGGCCGCCGGGCGGCCAAGTGGAGCAACTCGGTTGAGCGCTTGATGTGGGACACGCGCACCACCATCGCGTTTGGCCTGGCCGCCGTAAGTGTTTTTTTCTTTCTTTAGTAGTGTTTCGCTCATATTACTAGGCTTAAACTCACCACAGAAATAAACAAAATAAACCCCAAAAAAAAACCAAGTCGGCATTCTCCTTCTTCTCCGCCCTCAACCTCCTCTTCTTCAAGATCCTCATCCCGCCATCGGACGGCTGGGTCCCCTACCGCGCGGTCTGGGCCGCCCTCGTGGCCGCGGCGCAGCACTACGCCTCGGACCACATGCGCGCCTTCTGGCGCGGCAAGCCAAAGGTTCCCATGATGGGCGAGTGGAACGCCGCCATCGACGAGTGCAAGGACGTCGTGGAGCTGCTCGGCGTCCTGCGCTTCATGTGGCTGCTGGTCGCCTTGCTCAAGCTGGCCGGCTTGTAGTGGCGTACATTTTCCAATATTGCCGTCGACGTACAGACAGGCCCAAGGGCGTTGAAATCATGGGAATACATGCATAGCTGGTCGGTTTAGAAACTTGTCTCATAAGTCGTTTCCGCAATTGATCTGATGATACTGCCCCAAGGGTGATGCCCCAGGGGATAATAGCATATAATGAATGCTGCTAGCAAGAAAGGATGTACTTCGGCAAGAAGCAATGAAGGTATCGAAGGGAATGCAGGAGATCAAACGGATTCGAAAGCAAAGCAAAAAAGCGTATACCACCCGCAAAATACTTCGCAGCGTCCGGCACATGTTGAATTGCCCCCTCACCCCGGGTCGTCCTTTGGACATCTTGATTTTTTTTTGAGATGATCATTTTCCCCAGCGTCGTCAGACACCAACGGGTTACAACCGCCGTGCCCTTTTTTTCCATCACCACCAATCCACCTCCACCAGTCACCGTTCATATGGCATGCCGGAGATATCAGGCCTATACCTGCAGCTGCGCTGGGTCACCAGTCTTAGCCTGCAGGCCCATGCCAAGCCTGCGCTTGATCGCCTTCCACGACTCGACTAGAGCAATGTAGACGACGACGCAGGCCATAACCACGCCCCATTCCCACGTGATGGCCTCGTGCTTGAAGACCATGCGGTTGATGACGGGTATGTAGATGACGGGGAACGTAAAGAGGAAGCCCGCGGCCACGGCCCAAAACAGAAACCTGTTACGCATCACGGTGCGGAACACGGCCGTAGGGCCGTGCCAAAGCTCCGGGTTCATGTTGAACAGCGATCGCGTGAAGTGCTTGACTTCCCAGGCCGTGACGAGCAGGAGGAAGGTGAGCGTCGCGTAGGTGGTCGCACGGGCGCGGAATACCACGCCACATGTTTCGTTGTAGCTGTCATTGCAGCCATGGCCCAGGCCATTGGCACCAGGGAGGCCGTATGCGACTGATGAGAAGGCCGCGAGGCACAGTGCACCCATAAGGGTGCCGTATACCATCTTGTCGCGGATCAAATCCCAGGTGAAAACGCCAATGCGTACATCGTGTGGCGGGCGCGAGAGAATGTCGGGCTGCATTTCTTCGATGCCGAGACCCAGGGCCAGGAACGACGATGTGATCAGGTTGACCCATAGAATCTCAATGGGCGACAGGGGGAAGATGGAAACTCCAGTCTTGTCCTTGAAGGAAAGACCAATCAGGAGGAGGATGACCTGGGCAATGTTTGAGATGAGGAGGTGCAGTAGGAACTGGAAACGATACTGGTCAGCAAATTTGGTTCTGAGGTGATGAGGGCCTCCAATCAAGCTCGAATCTGTTGGCTTACCTTTTGGATGTTGTCAAAAAGCCGCCGTCCCTCCTGAATGGCCGTGACGATGGAGGCAAAGTTATCATCCGTCAGCACCATGTCGGCAGCCTCTTTGGCGACGTCGCTTCCGCGGTCGCCCATAGCAATACCAACATCGGCCTTCTTGAGCGCGGGCGAGTCGTTGACGCCGTCGCCCGTCATGACGCAGAAGGCGCGGCGACGATGCATAGCCTCGAGCATCCGGACCTTGGTCAGCGGGCTGCATCGCGCAAGCACAATGGGGAGCTTCTCCAGACGGTCGACCTCCTCATTGGAGAGAGCATCGAATCTGGCCGCCGCCATGACCGCATGATGAGGAAGGGGATCCATCGAGTGATCCAGAATGCCAACCTCATACGCGATCGCCGTGGCCGTCTTGATGTGGTCTCCAGTGACCATATGGACCGAGATGCCGGCCTTGAGGCACTTTTGCACCGCTTCACGCGTCTCGTTGCGAGGGGGATCGTATAGTCCAGCAAGACCGAGGAAGCGGAGGCCGGACTCAACCTGAGGCCGCTCCGACAGGTCAACGCCTGCTTCGACGGCCTTGCTCGCGACACAGAGAACACGGAGACCCTCAGACGCGAGCTCGTCCGCCTTGGCGGCAATCCTCTGCTTCAGGCTGTCCGAGTCCTGGAGGAGGGGCATGACCGTCTCGACGGCGCCCTTGGTGTAAACCCATCGCAGATTAGAATTCTTAGTTTCATAAACGACGCTCATGAGCTTGCACGATGAGTCAAATGGGAACTCGGAAACCAGCCTGCGGCCATCTTGCAGCAGGAGATCCGGTTTGCCCTTGCCGAAACGCATGGCAAAGATCTGCAGTGCGATCTCGGTGGGTTCACCGACAGCGGACCAGGAGACAGGCGAGGCGAGCGTGGCGGTCGCCGTCGTGACGGACTCGCTCTCCGACTCGCTAGCCTTGCCATCCGAAACGGTGGAATTGTTGCACAGTGCGATGGACTCTACAAAGCTGTTGAAAGGAGAGGACTGAATGGCCTCGGCGGCCTCCTTCTCGTTCGTGACTTCTGCAACCGTGACGGTCCCGCTGGTAGGGTCGTGTGAGTCTGTCGTGTTCTCCACCAGAGCTGTAGTTCCGTCAGGGAGCCACACCTTGCGTGTGATCATGCGGCCCTGGGTCAGCGTGCCAGTCTTGTCAGAGCAAATGTTGGTTACGCCACCGACAGCCTCCAGGGCCGACATCTTTCGAACGATGACGTTGCCCTTGGCCATGGCCTTGGAGCCGACGGCCATGGTAATGGTCAGAACGGCGATGAGGGATTCCGGAATAACGGCAACCCCGACACAGATGCCGTAGATGAGCACCTGGTTGCCAACCCGCCAGCCACTGGCCGAGAAGACGATAATGACGAGCAGCAGGGCGAGGCCGAAGAGCAGCAGAGCGAATTTGCTTAGCTTGACCTGGAGGGGCGTTCCCTCGAGGCCGAGGATGCGGCGAGCGCCATTCTTGGCGCGGATCAGGGTGCGGGCCGTGAACGACTTGCCGGCCGTTTCATCCTTTTTGCGTCGCAGCATGCCGGCGATCTTGCCGACTTCGGTGTCCATACCGGTGCTGGCGACAATGCCCGTAGCACGGCCACGCGTCACCGTGGCGGCCGAGTAGACCATGTTCAAACGGTCTCCCAGGGGCACGTCGGGCTCGTCCAGGACGGCCTCGGGGTGCTTGCTAATAGGGACGGATTCTCCGGTGAGGAGAGCCTCGTCAACCGACAGGTTGATGCCGCTGACCAGTCGGAGATCGGCCGGGATGACATCGCCGACACTGATCATGACCAGGTCTCCCTTGACGAGCATCTCGGCCTTGATCGTCTCGATCTGGCCATTGCGGACCACCTTGCAGGTCGGGGCAGACAGTGCGTAGAGGGACTGGATGGTCTTTTCGGCCTTGTAGTCCTGGATTAATCTGTTTGTGGCAGGGGGTTTCTGTTAGTCGTCGGCTGAGACATTGGCATCATAAATCGATGGTTCAAGCAGGGAGCGAGGGTGAGTGGAGTTGACATGGGACATGGGCCCGCGGATGACATCCAGCAGGGGAGCAGGAGCCTGCTCCGGGGTGCTCGGATTGGGTGTGGAGGCAGCCTGGGCAAGGGCGCGATGTTCGGGTGGGCAGCACGCGCGTGCTTCTCAACACACACCGCCTGCAACGTCCAGCCAAAGCCAGGCCCTTGCATGCCGGCGTGTGCGCACAAGCCCAGCCTAACTCAATTCAATGCCGAGTCCGCACGTCGGTCCCACCTCGAACGCAGACTGCCCAATATCTGCCCACGTGCCACCCCGAGCATATGCAAGGTGCATGCAGTGACTCCCAATGAAGGAAGACGAGATAGGGAGAGGCGGGAAGTGGAACCAAAAGCACAAGAGCATGGAAGAAAGAGCAAGAAGTAGCGCTTACCCAACAACGATGTTGAGGACAATGACGGCCGTGATGACGCCGCCCTCGATGTAGTCGTCGATGCAGAAGGAGAGCACCATGACGATGAGGAGTACAATGGTCAGACTGTTGGAGATCTGCCTTAGGAAAACCTCCCAAAGGGAAACTCCCTTGGCGCCCTGGATCTTGTTGGCGCCATGGCTGCCGTAGCGGAGCGCGGCCTCGGCGGCGCTGAGACCCTCCTCGAGGTCCGTCTGGTAGAGAGCGGCGAGCTCCGAGATGGGGACGCAGTGGGCGGCCGGGCCGTTGTCGGCGTAGCGGGGCAGATGCTCGACGGCACCATTGCTAACACTGGCAAATGTGGACGAGCTCGAGGTGGCGGGCGAGGAGGCCTGGGGGCGGGAGAGGGTGGGGGTTTGGTGAGAAGAGGATGAGGCGGCGTCAGCGGCGGCGGCGGCGCGCTTGGTCGACTGCTGCTGCTTCTCTATGGCTGCTGCTTGTTCTTGGGGCGTTCCGTGAAAGCCACTACTACCAGTTGGCGGCTCGTCTTGCTCGGCGACGGTCTCCGCGGAATCGAGATTTGCACCATGCCTAACGGAGTCGGATTTTCCCATCGAATTTCAAAAGGATGCGGGAGACAGCGATAGCCTTTACGGGTGGTTTGGTGGAAGAGAAAGACAACGAGACGACAGAAATGTCGGTTTGGAGAGATTCCTAGTGTTTTTGCTTTGTTGTCCGGAAGGGAGTGTGGGTGGTGGCTGTGGCTGTCAGCTACAACAAGTGTGCACCTCGAGAGGGCTGGGGATGGAGATGGCTTTCCAGAATCGGGAACGCGGGCGGGAGGAGCGGATGGGAATGGGGGCATGTTTTATAGACCCAGGCCTGCTGGGTTCACCTCCACATTCTGCTGCCTCTCCCGCCTGCGCCTGCCCTGGGAATCGGCCAGGGGCCTGTTGTTGGGGGAGGGGCGGCGGGCTAATCGCAGTGGTGAATGGTCCCGTGGCCTCTCGCTGTGCAAAGCGACTTCCATTCGCCTGCACCCACCCAACCCAGCAATCGCGACTGTGGACTTGCCAAGCCTGCACGAGCCCCGCTTGGGAATAGCGCTTTTACATAGTACAGTGCGCGACACGACGGCGTGTACTTGTCAATCAATCATTGATTTTGTGGGCACCGTGCCATCCATGCACCAGCCAAATGCTTCCAGTGCCCAGTGCTTCCTTCCAGCGCTTCCGGTTGCAGCGCAAGGCCAACACGTTCCACCCATATTGTTGGCCACAAACCACGTACTCGGTATGTCAATCGCCCTCAAGTGCCTACGCCACCGAGCTGGTGTGTTGTTTGCACTAGATTGACGGCCCAACCTTGCCCAAACGAGGGCCCAAGCCCAAGGTACTGGCAGCCGCTGCTAGTCTTGACAGGTTGATTTATGGCGGGGGACAGTGTGACGGACAGCGTCGTGGAGCCAGATGACGGCCAACGGACACACATCCATGCGAAGCCTTCGAGTACATGGGTCTGGACGGCCGGGCACTCTGGGCTCAATGAGTTTGACGCCCATCTATCGCCGGCCCTTTGATTGACATTGAATGGAGCACCCATCGCGTCTCCCCCGCCGCTCTCTGATGCCACAGTCCAAGCCAGCCAAGGCTCCCCATTGCGTCATCTTGGTGAGTACTTGTCCAAGGAACCACCAGCCAATCAGCAGGCCCGGTTATACCGCCAGATGCAACCCTCCGCGAGCGCACCTTGGACAGACGACATTCCAAGAATGGCTGTGCTGGCTCCTCACACTTGGCGGTCCCAATCTCATCGCACAGTATCCGCGCCTTGCGTCTTGATAACCCGCCCCGCTCTCCAAGGGGGAACGTCGGGACAAACAGTAACAAGCTCCAGGTCGACGAAAGCTCCACGAGCTTGTGCAAAGAAACAAGGCTTGTCGCCCCCAGTGACCACGAAGGCTAAGTATAACGCTCCAGCCTGGCACGCCTTGGATATATACGGTATGTATTGTCACTCTTCAGGGCGGCACAAACGACTCTCTGGCCGAAACATGACTCTACACCCGCCGGCAGGTCCACAAATCATGCTCCAGGACTGGAGATGTTCACATGGAATGCCCAACTGCGATGGACGCTGACGACGGTTCGTAGTTTGCTGGCCCTATCCCGAACCCCTGTCGGCGGCACTGTGCCCCCACACATGAGGTATCTCCGGAGTTCCTAGACGAGCTAGAGTCAACTGGTGACTGGTAAAGAAGGCGCTCAACGGTAGCCCTGCGTCTCGGGAATTCGCCGGGCCAAGACGCGCACGGAACGCCACTCGCCCTCGCCCTCACCAATCGCTGGGATGGCAGGCTGGACGGCAGGTTACAGACAAACCGGATCTCGGCAGACGGGGAATGCGGCCGCCAGACATCAAGACAAAAAGAGCAATGACGCTCGCGCTCAAAGCTAGGCAATCGAGAGGGGTGCGCGGGTGATGCTCCACTCGGCCAAGGCGACCACTGCGGGCTTTCCCCTCAGCGCCAACGCGAGGGGACATGCACCCCTCAAACCCAAGAGTCGGGCCTGCTCCGGTACTTGCCCTGATCGGCAATATCCATGTGATGGGCGCGGGCTTTCCTCCGAGCCAAGCCCTCCCGCTCGGCCGGAGATCGGGCGTAAGAGGTGGTACTGTTTCCCGCCCACGTCCAGGCTGGCTCGCCGCACTCGCGACCCGCAAAAGAAGCGGAAATAGACTGACCCCGACCCCGCGGCAGCTCGATTGATAAGGTTGTTCAAACGTCGGGGCCCAGCGGCTTCCCTCATGTCCATTCGACAGCACAGTATCAATTACGCGGGGGCCGCCGCGCTTCCTGGCACCTTCCTGCACACTACCGAACTAGCAACCCAGCCACGGCCGGACAAGACCACAACCCGCCAGCACGCAACGGCGTTTGATGAATCATGACACCTAAAAAGACGCCTTGGGGGCCCAGGAAGTGAGCCGCCGCACAGCCTCTCCGTCCCACCTGATCGCCACACTAAAGCACCTCAGATGTGGCGTCGCCTGGCGGCCTCTGGTGATGCCATGTCTTCTAGCCATCCATGTGCAATGGACGCCATCCCATCACGGTCACAACATATTTCTTGAGGCAGGATTGGTTAGGTAAGGTAGGTGGCAGGTGCGAGAAAAATCAAAAAGTGTCTCAATAAATTTGTTGTAACCGTGCCCATAAAAAATGACGGCAAAAGATCTGCTTGGAGACAAACAAGGGAACCAACCAAGCAGGAATGGGAAAGGCCAAACTCGCCCTTCCCACCAACCGCCAAGCCTGCACAAAGCCAGCGACTTTGTCACATGCACTGGCATCACACACACACACACACACACACACACACACACACGTACCCAACCACCCAACCCCGCCGCAGCGACAAGCCCGCCACGTTGCGTTACACGGCGTGGACCAGTCAAGCTGCCACCCCCTCCAAAGGGCGGAGACTCCCAAGAGCGAACCCATGTTGGCAAGAGGGCGGCTCCCAGGATCTCTCGCCAAAACATCCCAACTCGTTAAAAATTAGCACTCGCGCCAACTTCCCGCTTATTCGTTCTTCCCTCGCGCAGATGAAGAACAAGTCAACTTTGGCATACGGTAGCATCGCCGGCGGCTAGCCGCCGTCCCCACCCTCCTCCCCACGTTTTATGCCGACGACATTCACTGGCCAGCTCGGGGCAAGGAATGGCTGATGTCCGTTTGTCCGTGGTCCATGCTTTATGCATGTAACTCGCACTCTCCCAAGGATTTACCGCAAACAAAGGTTCAACATGCACGCCCACGTAAGGTTTGGTGGCTGTGTGATCAGTAGGATTGACTCCCGGGGGAACCCAATTCCAGCTTATGAAAAGTTCCATCTCGTGTGGGAGAAAGTAGCAAGCAAGTCTGACAAGTGTCCGACGGCAAAATTAGACGCGACATGCACGCAGCCAGATGTAAGTAAGTACAGGTAAGACCCAAGCCCATGGAAGCCCCAGCCATTCTCCCGTACGAGATGTGAAATAGTAAAAAAAAAAAACATGGATCGCCTCCAGATGTACCCCTTTTCTAGTTTAGACAAACGTGATACTGTCACAGCGTATGAGATCCATAATTGCAGGATTCTCGCTCTCAAAATCCCTGACCCAAGCGGGTTCCTCTGTATCGACCTTCACACTTGCAGCTCCTGTGGCAGAATCTCCAGCACCCGAAGGTCCACAGCTGTTGCCGGCTGGCTCCTCACTCGCGTCACGGGGCCTATCTGTGTCGGTATGTGTCAATGTGGTGCTGCCAAGCGTCGAGGGCGAGCTCTCCCCGGGCGAAACCGGCGCTCCGTCGGAATCCCCTAAACCGTCGTTCAAACCCGAGGAGTCCCAGGGAACTAGCCTAGGCGATGATGGGAGATCAAGCAACTCGGATGCTTCGCGGAGGATCTTCTCCTTTTTGGCATCAATGGAAATGTTGGCAGATGGGCCGGCCGAATTTCCTCGGGACCTGGTCATGCTGGATTCTCTAGTTTTGGAACCAGGCTGTGGACTCCTGGTTGCCGCATTGCTCCTCAGGGGTTTGCTCGGGTGCCGGACTGGAACATAATCCGCCGCCTCAAACATGTCATGGCCGGTGAAATCCAGGTCGACTGTCATACTGGCACTTCCATTCTCATCCTGTCTTGGTGTCAGTGCCCTTGAGCCCACAACGACAACATCGCTGTCGCCGAACGAATCATCGCTGAACAGGCTTAGGGGAGGAGAATCCTGGGATAAATCGATCACATCCGCCCGGTACATGTCGGCTACCGGAGGAGGCCTGTATGGTGGCACCTGCGGTCGTGCGGGACGGCTGCTCGAGGTGTATGCATTTTCTTCCCCCTTGCGCTGTCGCTTGGCAGCTGAGGGCCCATCCTGGCTTTCCCTCGAAAACTCTGGCCATGAAGGTACGCGCCCAGTCGGAATTTCAACTTGATCCTGTTTTCTTTTAGGGACACCATCCTCGGCCGACTTTGGCTTGGGCTGCTTCGGTCTCTTCTCAAGGCCCTCTTTGCAGCACGGATGCTTGCATGGCTTCCCGGTCTTGGTGACGCCTCCCCCGCCACATAGATGGTTGCATCTCCACCGACCGTTTGGCAATTGGACCGGCTCTAGCTGAATCCCTGCCTGCGACTCTGCGTGGGAGAGAGCTTCGGTAGGACTTTCGACCTCGCGGTCAACAAGCCTCTTGATAGATGGGAACTCGTCGTCGTCTGAGTCTTCGAGCAGTGCCCGCGGTGGGTGGCGCGACGCGGCCCTCTCGAGTATGTCTAGCTGCTCGGCCGCCTCGAGGAGATCACCATCGTCGAGGCTGTCATCAAACTCGCCCAAAGGGGAAATGGCCTTTGGGGGTGTTGACTTTCTGGGTCGAGGCGGAGGTGGCGTCGTGGTTGCCATCTTCATGTGCGCGAATGTAGAAGCTGGAAGCTTGTGATTCACCGTCACCGAGCAGCCCAGGCCCACATAGTCCTCGCAGTTGAGCGAGCAGAAGACGTGGTCGCTGGCATCGGATAAGGGCGCAGAGAACTCCAGTGTTCGTCCGCCAGGACCGCTCAGACTTTTTGAGGACCCTCTCCAGAAATAGACAAGCGTGCCGTTCGTGGTCTCGGCTGTGAATGTGAGATAAATGGCATTCGCTCTGGTCGGGGGCTCGCCTCCGCAGTTATACCTGAATGTGGCCTTGACATTGATGGAAGGGGGGTCCTTGCTCGAATGGCGCTGGTTCGGGAGTGCGACAACTTCCGTCGCAAGCGACAGCTTCGGAAATTTGTCAACGAGAGCCAGCATATTGCGGCCGAACGGAGGGTTCTTGCTTAAGAACATTTGTATCCTCTCTGGCGCCGTGGCTGCCAAGTCCTTCATCGTCAAGATATCGTGCTGGACCAACTTTCTCATCGTGACGGGCCCGATACCTGAAACCTGTAGAAGCTGTGAGGGCATGCCCTCCCATCCTCCGGCCTTGATGGATCTGAAGAGCTCGAGGGCATTTCGGACCCCGACAGCGTCATGGTCGGCGCCCTTGCAGTCGATCACGCACTTGACAAGAGGCTTGATGCGGTCCAGCACCAGGCACTTGTCGGTCGCGTGTTGATTCTTGGCCATTTGGATACCCTCCTGAGTGGGATACTCGACGCCGCCGAGATCTGATTGAATCAGCAGAGATACCTTCTGCCACGTCTCAGAGATCGGCCCTTTGACTGGGTAACGAATGAAGGGCGACTCGTTGGTTAGTCTGTAGAAGGCTCTCTCGTTGGCCTTGAGTCGCACGTCCTTGAACTCGTCCGCTTCGGACAGACTGGCCAGCTGTAGGGAAACAAGACGCAGTTAGCTATGTTCAGCAGGGGTCGCAGTGCAGCAGCCGGGATCTGCCATACCAGCTCTTGGATTCCCGCACCCCTTGGGATTCGGAGGACCTTCTTCATTGTCTCGAACCGCACCATGTACTTGGACATAGCGATCCCGTAAGGTGTGCAGCTGAACTTGGCGTCCGACGTCACGATCTTCTTCTCCTGTAGTTGCCTGATGTCCTTGTCGCAAATCTCCTCGAGCCTGCCTTCAGCATGGCTGATCTGGCCTGGCCTGGTATCTAGCTGGTAGTAGGTAGGGTTGCGCTGGAGGCGGATGCTGAGGAATGTGCCGTTCAACCACATCCTGGCTGACTCGGAATCCTTGATGGTTCCCAGGCTGATCTCGGAGTTGAGATGTTCGATCAGGTTTCGGTGCAGGGTACTCTCGAGGACTTGCTGTCCGGAGACCATGTCGGCGTATCTCGCCTTGTTTTCTGGTCGGGTGAAGATGATGGCAACGGCGCTGTTGTCGAACTGAGGCCGCCCGGCACGGCCCAGCATCTGCATCACCTCCAGATCCGAGTATTCTGAGAGCCTTCCGTCCGAGTACCCCATGGTGCCCTTCAGCACAACGGTGTGACACGGAAGATTTACGCCAACTGCCAGGGTGGATGTGCAACAAATGACATGAAGGTCTCCGTTTAGATAGGACCTCTCGACAGTAGTCCGATCCCCAAAATCAAGCCCTGCGTGGTGGACGGCGACGCCGGTGTGCACAATGTCGCGCAGTGTCTTGTTCTTGACCGAGATTTCCTTCTTCGGAGCGGGCCAGAGTTTGGTGCCAGCTGGGGCAACAGACCAGGCCTCCGAAAGCCTCTGCGCCGTGGTTTCGCAAGATTTGCGGGTGAAGCAGAATACCATGATGGGTTTGGGATCTTGCTTTCTTGTGTGTTTGGAGAGGGCCGGGATGATCTTCTTGTCGAGATAGGTGTCAAACACCCAATCGTTCCCTCCGCAATGTTCGCCGTAGACGTGCTTATCTAGCCGCACTGGGCGTAGCTCTTCGCCAAAGGTCTCCCTCCGAGCGGGGAGGTGAGGGTTGGTATGGTCTCGCCCAAACCACCTCGCCACATCCTCGGAGTTGGGAACCGTAGCGCTCAGGGCGATGAATCGGACGTTAGCACCAATGGTCTTCATGCGACAGACCACTGCCTCCAGAGTAGCGCCGCGCGCGTCCTTGAGAATATGCACCTCATCGATGAGGAAAAGCTCGACCAGTTCCAATAGCTTGCGGTGGTCGGCCCACTTTCTTGTGATAGAATCCCATTTCTCTGGCGTGGTGACGATGATATGCGCGGCCCCGACCTTTTGTGTTTCGGCCATCGAGGTGTCGCCCGTGAGCTCGGCACAGCTTAGGCCTAGACGAGCAAGCTTTCCTTGCCAGTCGCGGGACCTCTCTGAGCAAAGGGCCTTGGTGGGAGCCATGTAAACGGCCTTGAAGTTCTGGTTGGTACGCTGGGACATCAGCCTGCAGATGGCGAGTTCTAGTATGGCCGTCTTGCCACTTCCTGTTGGGGCCGAAACAACAAGGTTGTCGTTGGATTGGTAGACCGAGTCAAAGCACTTGGACTGAACCGCGTTGAAGAGCGTGTAGGGAAATATGGACTGTATTCTCTCAGGGAGCGACTGCTTGGGGTCGACGAGGTGGATTCCGCTGGCCATAGGAGGAGCGTGCACGAGATTGAGCTGCCGTGGTATATGGATCATGGTGGCTTGTGGTCGAGGAGGGGCAATGGGCGCGGTGTCTCGTGACTGGGCTTTGCGGGCAGGATGAGAGTGTAGCCTCTCGGCGGCTCTTCCCGCCGGACTAGAGAAGCCGAGACTCGAGGTTGAGCTGCTGTCTGTGTTGGTATCGAACTGGGATGCTGATAAGGGCGTTAGCGGAACGTCAGGATCTTGGTACATAGGAGCAAACATTTCTCACCGGTTTTTGACGAAGCAAAGGCTCTCTGCTCGGTGCCGGGGCGAGCTTCAGGACTCGGAAAGCCCATGGAGTGGTGGTTCTGCGTGCGGTACGCGGAGCTGGTGGCTTGCGGAGTCGGATACGGGCAGGCATCTTGCGGGGCGTCCGGGTGACCGAACACTGGATCATGGTGTGGTCGCCGGCGGTTAAAGCTGGAGTCTGGGTGGGAGTGCGACCCAGCTCCCGTTGGGGATGGCAGACCGGCTGAGGTATATCTGGTTGATGGAAGGCTGGAAAGGGGGGTCGGTTGGAGCGTCGAGGGCGGGTAGCGAGGGGCCTGAGAACGTGGCGAGTGCCCCAGGAGGCTGAGGTCCGCACCGAGAGCGTCGGGGCGTGCTCTTGGGTCATCCAAAGCACTCTGTTGGGGCCCATGATTCCACAAGAACCCATCAAGCTCACGGGGATCAGAACGTGAGCTACCCATCAACCTGGAGCGCTGAGCCTCGTAGATATTCACCGGTGCCATCGGGAAACGGCTCGAGCTGGGAGGGGGTATGCAGTAGTGATATGAGTCTTGGGAAGAGGCAGTTCCTGCGTCTCGGAAGTGTATGGGCTCATGTTCACGCCCGTCGGTTGTGTCGTTCATGAAGGCCATGCGGGGATCAGCGTGGTTCTGGACTGGGCCTCTCTGCCATTCTCGGGTCGACTTCATGCTGGGTGTCGGAAGTGTCGAAGCCTGGGCCGGAAAGCGGAAAAGAAAGATTGACCCCCTATGCTTGCAGCCGACTGGTCCGCCAGACTCGATGCTTCGGGCTGCTTTGGGGCCCAGTATACCAGGCGAGAAGACGGTGGCCGAGGATGCACCAGAGTCGCGGCCATGCGAATAGGATCGGTGTCTCCGCAGAGCTGGCGAGGCTGCAAAGAGGGGAACCACCGAAGAGAAATTCAAAGGCGGCCATCGTTGAGCGCCACAATCCCCTTCTTTCAGGTTCCACACGTGATGCCATTCCGCGTTGAGGAGCGGGATGTGGAGCCGTGCCTTCCCAAGATGGTGATGAATCTTGTGCCGCCATCATGTCGTACGCTCCTTCCGTGAAGAGTGTTTTGCTCGGGTGACAGATTGCGTGTTCCCGCTGCCCGACAAGAAGAGGGGTTTTGCACCGGCACCTATGGCGTTGCCGAAAGATGGAATCAGGTTCTTCATCTTTTGGGTTTCGGCTTCCAAATCGACAACAAGGTGGCATCTAAGTGTCGTTGGAGATAACGGCTCCCCGTCAGCTTGTAACTCTCCCCTGCACATGTGGGAACACATCGAGTTTAGGTTCTTGCTTTTTAATGATTGTATTGATGGCCGACTCTATCACTATTCGCCATTGACCCATGTTCAAAAGACAACTCGAAAGCTGTCGCGAGCTTGCGTCTGTATACGGCGCGCCCCTGAACACCTTAGCCACAGACCTGACGCACCCGCCGTCACGCCTCTGGGCAATGGCCACAGAACACAGGTGACGGCAGTGCCGCGGTAGGATCCAACACGCGCGAGGAAACAGTGTCTCCCGGCCGGTCAGGCAACTGCCGCCATTCGCGTCGCCGACAAGACCTCTAGGTTATCCATCTGCTCTCGTCCCCGTTCCGGAGACGGAAGCTGCCGTTGGATGCTACCAGAAAACTGCGAGGAGAACAAACGGATATCGAGGAAAATCCTCACGCGGCCCCTTCGTTTATTCTCATCGCCCTTGCCCGTGCCAGCGGTCTCCGCAACTGGTTGTCACGGTCGCGAGCCTGGGCCCTGATCCCAGTCAATCCAGTGTCGGGTTGACAACGTGTTTCATCGCGTCCCTCGCCGGGGTATCTGTCTATTCATGCAGAATAAAAAAAAGAGGAAGAAGTGAATAAAGCATCGTCGATAATGCGGATAGGCGGTTTTATCCCCGCCGCGATGGGTTTTCTCTTTCAAAGTTCGCTTCGATGCTCTCGTCTCCATACCCAGATTGATTTTTGTTTCCTCCCTCAATTGCTCGTGGGAGGGCATTCACATCGATTCATGGTGCTGATTTGTTGCAGGTGATGAATATCTTTTTTGTAGGTAAGGTTCATTGTCGGCGGGTCGGGTAGGGGCAGGGAGGTTTTGTGGTCCTCTATCCGACATTCACCGCAAAGGGTCCGCCGAACACCCCAGCTGGTGGGTATGGTCTTTGTTTCTGTCGGACCGCGTTCCGCACGCACAGCGAGGCTTTACTCGTCCCGGTTCTTGTCGCCCCTGGCCGACGGGACCCGGTTATGGTGCCGCAAAGGGGAGGCAGGGCGGGATGTGGACAAGCCCATGGCGCGGACAGTGTCGAGGGGGTCGAGAAGCTGCCTCTTTTCGCCCATTGGCGTACCTGTCTTGGGCGTCGAGTCGATCATAGTCTTCTCGAAGCCGACAATGTTGAGCGGCGGTGGCCGTCCTCGCTTGCGGTCAGGGCCGCTGTACAGGTACGTAGCGAGGATGACTAGCGTGGTGCCAACAATGAACTGTGGGGAGCAAGTTTCTGGCTTAGCATGTGTTTTGCTTAGGTGCGCATCAAGATAAAAGAGAAAAAAAGCCCGGGCAGCAAGACTTACCGTGAGGTTGAACTGGAAATTGAAGAACCAGACGCTGAACAAGAAGCTGATGACAATGCTGATGCTAGTGGCAAAGTTCTTGGCAATGTTGTCGGCGTAATTGATGCACAGCGAGGCCAGCACCCCGCCGACGGCCTGGAACACGACGGCGGTCCAGACGACCCAGTTGTAGCCGTCGAAGAAGCCGTGCTTGGCGATCTCCTCGCCGTCCTTGAAGACGACCCCGATCAGGAAGGCGGGGAAGAGCGAGTAGAAGGACAGCTGCACGTTGCGCGTCCAGACGGTGCGCGGGGTCGGTGAGTCCTTGAGCACCTTCTCGAAGTAGACGCCCGTCAGGCCCGAGACGGCGGCAGCGACGAGGACGGCGCTCAGGCCGATCGAGTAGTTCATGATGGGTGACGTGTCCAGGTCCTCCTTAATCCCCTGGTACGTCGCCGACCGGCGGGCGAGGGCCCCGCCGATGTCCGACACGGCGCGCTTGGTGAGCTCGCGGGCTACTTCGGCCGCACCGTTGGCCAGCTGCCCGAGCTCGTGGACGGACCGCGGGAAGAAGTGGTCGCTGAAGTCGTGGATCATCATGTGCGAGTCCTTGGCGTTGTTGGTCGACGGCAGCGACACGATGGACACGCCGAACGTTAGGAGAACTAGCGAGAACCAGCGCTTGGCGCCAAGGGACCGTCCAAGCATGATGACGCTAAAGAAGGCGGTCGTGAGGATCTATCGGGAAGGAGAAGAGTCTGGGTCAGCTGCTGGAAACCTGGCTGCGAACCTCGCGAGCGGGCTTTGCCCCTCCCGGCGCACGCTCCCGCCAAGGAACTCCCCAGGCCTGCCTAACCTTGAGCTGGTACAGGATCTGGAAGTGGACGGGATCCAGGTTGCCGACAGCAACATAAATGAGGGTGTTCTGCAGTGTGTAGAGTGTTGCAGGTATAGCAAGCTTCCAGCCGTCGCCGGAAAAGACCGAGTTGTAGAGCTGCTCGAACAGCACCGTGGCCGGGGTTTGGGGCGCCAGGCTGCGCGAGTGCTCGTTTATGGCGAAGGTCAGGCTGATGGCCAGCTTGATCACCTCGTTGAGGAAGACGGCGGTCGAGGTGAAGTATCTATGGTCGCCGTCTGGAGGCATGATACGAGAATAATGCATAATCTGGGCATGGCAGAAGAGCATTCCGCGTTAGCATGAGCCTGCGCTTCCCTGTCGGCGCTCGACGACATGACCGATTGCGACGCTAGCAGAGGTGGGGGTTGAGGAGGCAGATTCTGGGAGACGAGGGTCGCGTACGAGGATCAGGGCCGAGTTTTGGAAAGTGAGCTGCGCGCAACAAGAAAGCCCAGTTAGCAAAGAATATCCCAACACCCGGCTAGCAAGCGTAGTAATTCGCAAATCTGTGCTCACCGTGATCAACGAAACTTGCTTCATGGGCATGCCGAAGAGCATCGGGCCCTTGACCGTGGATGGTGGTGCATCCATTATGGCCATGATGACGTCTTGGACGCGGACAGGGCAGAACCGCCAGTCTGATGGATCAGTGAGCGCGCCACAGTTCAACTGGCGCGGCCGGCCGCTGGGACGAGGGCCGAGATGGATCAATTCGGCGCGCGACCGGGTTTCGGAGTATTCTGGGAAAGAACTTTTGCGCAAATCGGTGGGTGGTATACCACAACAGCTTTCGTTGCGCGAAGCAGCTGTTTTCGAGAAGTGGTGCGGGTGAGTGGGAGAAAAAAAAGTGGTGTGGCGCGCTGGGCTCTGTGATTTTTTTCTAGCCAGTGGCTTTGCCAGAAACCGCAGTTGCGTATGGGCAAAGAGGACGCAAACAGGGCAGTGTTGCGCCAAACTCCACGACCAGGGTATGTGTGGCCTTGCTCTGGTCGACTGCAGGTCGCACTCGCTCGCACGCTCCTCTCTGGGTTCGACGTTATGCCACACGTCACATTCGGTTGTCCCTGACACCCCTGGCAAGACGGCTCCTCAGCCTGATCTTTGTCGGCCCTGGTCGGGAATCGATTGGTCGGCTGGGAGAGGGTGTGAGGCCCAGCTGTGGCACAGAGAAAAGGGGACGTGGACAGCCCAGCAATGGCGTCAGAGAGAAAAAAAAAAAGGACAGACAGGACGAAAAGGAACGAGAGCTGAAGTGTGCGTTGTCGGCCTGGTAGCAAAAAGGTCACAATTTGAGAAATGGGGTCGTCAATTGAGTGGTTGAGCGGCTGCCCTCCCTGATGGACCTCCAAGGAGAACCGCTTGGAGCTTGGTGTAGGAGCTTGGCCGTCTGGAAGCCTGCAGGCGGGCCTTTGACAGACGAATCTATCGTCCGTCCTGGCTCCAACACGTCAGGACTGGCCAGGCCGCGGTGGGAAGGTGGCCAAAACGATCAGGCAAAGGCCGCGGAGTCGCTCCACCGCTCAAACGAACCTGACGCCGAGGCCAGCTGCAACAGTCGTTAGCAGTGAGCTCGACTCCCATTGGGCTCTGGCTGCAGCACCACGAGCATTCTACCGCCCAACCAGTGTGTGCGGCAAGGCTTGTGCGGATCATCCATGGTCCAGCTCCCAAGAGTACGTGCTCGCTCTCCCGCGGCCCCAATCTTTCCTAGCCTGGCCGCTTTTCGGCAGCTGAGCTCCGCTCGATCGTAACCCCGCAATCGTTATGGATGACTGTGCCCTGTCCGTCCAACCCCCTTTTTTTTTCTATTTCGTTTCTGTGTGCCCCCTTTCCCCTTGCCGGCGTCCGAAGCTGGCCAGGAAGGAGAGTGAGAATGGACTTGGACTTACTGCTGCCCTGGAGGTTCTGTGCCAGCGTTGGCCGATACTGGGGGAGACGAGACTTCGGATGTGGGCGGACTAATAATGGTGTCGGGCTGGAGGCCGAGGCAAAAGCACCACCATCCGACGGCTGTTGTCGCGGGTTTGAAGTCGTGATAAGTTCGGGGGAAACACCCTGGCAGCGGGTGTGCGGGATCGCCGGACCCTTTAAAATGCTTTTTTTTTCTTCCTCTGGCCCCATTTATTCACGCTTGCAGCGAAACGAAGACGTCTCGAAATTAGCTCTTTTTTTCTCTTTTCGGGAACCCATGGAGATTTGTTCTCTTTGGGGGTTGTCACCAGCGCATCGCCGGGGACAAGGAGGGGCCCATCATCTCTCAACACCACCCTAGCCCACGTGAAGTTCCGATCAGATCTTACTCGAGGACGGACCAGGCTACTGAAAGGCCGGGGCTCTCCGGCGCCAAGTCCCGCGTATGCAAGCGCTTAAGCACAGGCTCGTCTTACCACCTCGCTGGCATGCTTCTCCCCCAGCTGCTGTTAAGTAATAGCCTCGTTCGCGATGCACTGGAAAAAGTCCAGCCCAAGGCCGGCGAGGCAAGCACATGGATGTGCGCCTATGCACTGTAACCCTCCCTGCTTTGTGCCAGATCCAGCTGAGCACACAATCCAGATCAATATCCCTCCTGGCATCATGGCCCCATGACATGCACCTTTGACACGAGATCTTCTTACCTGGCCCCCAGGTGTGGGCGGGAGGGGATCACGCGCGAGCGCGGTTTTAGTGCGCCATCCCGAGCCCGCACCCAGTGACGTCTTTGGCCCGACCGTCTCCTCCCCCACTAGATCCCCCCGCCCTCCAACTTCTTCTTAGGTAGCGTGCTGGGGCCGAGACCTCCGCCGGTCGATCGCCGTCGCCTCTTGCGGCGGTGAAGGTGGGTGGTGGATACGGTGGTGCCAGAGGTCCCGGTCGTCTAAACGCGTGAATGCTCACGCGATGTCGATGCGACCAACCCCTCACTAACGGCATCGGGTAAATTTAGTGGCCTGCCCTGAATCATCCACTGCAACCCAATGCCACAAGAATCCCTCAGGACGACGATTCTTTGTCCAGGGTGACAGAACTTGGAATTCAGGGTCTGTGTTTGCGAGGTTGAACTGTCTGAGGCCATCCACCCTCGAGCTCGAGGCATTGCGCTTTTCGTCAGGATCCAACGTGCCCTCCCTCTAACGTCGGCACCGCTGGATCCCACGCTAGTCCAGAAAGGCTGCCCTTAAAAGGCGATAAAATGCGATGTAAATTTGTCTCCGACGAGTATGTATGTATTTGGCCGATAAATAAGTACATTGGAAACGGGAATTTGTAAATTGCGAAGGGCGAGAGCCAAAATCGCAAGCCGTAAAATCAGACTGTCTCGGATACCTCAACTGGGGCCAGATCCCACCTGGTATAAAATAGTTGATGACACCAGTAAAGCTAGCTTTCGTATTGGTCTTCCTGTTTAAGGAGGGTGTATGTGTTGGCTGTTTCGGCATGCTCGGTTAGGAATACATCATTTGGTGGGCGGTTAAAGGTTCACGTACCTTCCTCGCGAAGGTGGTTCGTAATATCGCGCATTATCCTCACCTCGTCGTCGCCAAGGCCGTGCAACAGAGGCCGCGATTTCATTTCGGTAAAGATGCGTGTGAGCGGGACGTGGTAGACGAACATGTCCCGGTAGTGGGCGATGAGTGTTTGGGCGTCCCGGAATAGGGTGTTGATGTGTGTATAATTTCCATATCTGCTTCCGCGGTACGGGGTCTGTTCGAGATGAAGTCATCATCGTCAGCTTATCGAGGGAGCAACTGGTCTTGACCCGAGGAGCTTACCATGAGCCCACATGTGGAGGCCGCCTTGCGCTCGTACGCCGTTGCGAGCTCAATGCTGTTCAACAAGTATAAAAACCGGCCACAAGACCTCGGCAAAAGGGACACTGTCTTCGTTTATGGTGCTGGCCTGGAGTTGCTGGAGCAGCAGCAGGCGCAGAGGGTGGAGGAACTGCCGGATCACAATCTGGCTTAGTTGCGTCTCCATGATCGGGGTCACGGGGATCTTGCCGAAGAACATGCTGCGCCTGTCTACAATCTCCTCCATCCCCAGCGTCTCCTGGCCTGTTATACGCCAGGGGTCCTCGATAATTCGCGATGCCACCCAGAATTCTAGCACGTCTTGGAGAAGCCTGCTCTGTGGGCGTGGCATCGCTGTCAGCCCAGATTCATGGCATCAAGACCTCAAGACAGTAGAAGCATGGAGGGGATCGCGCCGGCTCACTCCGCCTTTGGCTCTCTTCACAGCCATGTCAAAAATTCGAGACACCACATCATTTGCAGGCTGAAGGCATGCGCCAAGATAGGCGCTCATATTGGCGCCGATGTACGCCTGAATCGATCGCTCCGTGACAGCCGGGGATGTGAGCGCATAGGAAGGCATTCGTAGCCGCCTGTGGGCGCCGTTGATGTCGCGCCAGCCGTACCAAGTGGCGTCTACCTTTTCGGGCACAAACTCTTGGACCACGACGCTGAGTGTTGCGGAGCCGGGCACTTGGGAAAGCTCGATCGTTTTGGTGGTGTTGGGCAGTCCGGTGCTGAGGGCGCTGAGCCGTAGGCTTCGTTCTTCGTGGTGCTGTTGGCCTCGGGGCCGGCCCGGAAGAGAGTAACGTCCTTCAGGCATGCCCTGAAACACGGGATGCGCAGGTTCATCGGGTGTGCTGCATGTGCCTCTGTATAGCTAACGCAGGGTGTCAGGTCGTTTGTTGTACACTAGAAGACAGTGGTTAGATACCCATCAATATGACCGAGTCTGTAAGTGAAGAGGTGTTGGCAGCGTACTGGCATACCCTTCGACCAACTCGCTGGCAACGGATGCAGGGCACAGTCCCTTGATCCTACGCCGAGACGGGGGATCGCTGAGGAGAGCGATCAGTAGCGTCTGGGATGGTTGGAAGTGGCGGGGGTTGTCGGAGCGGCCATGTGGACTGCCTTGCTCTATTGCCACGGCGGTTCCAGCTACTGGGGGGCCTCGCCGACGAACCCGGCAAATCTGACGATGCCGCTCTCCTGTGGAATTGGGTTCGTGCTGGTGATGCGTGTGGCGGCCCTTCTGGTTGCATCATATCCTGATATTTTGGAAATCTGGGAAGCCATAGGGGCAGTGTGGTCAGTATATGTGCCGTATATCAATGTTTTTCGTCAATATCTCGTGGCTTTTCTCACCTCAAGCAGATGGTTGGCGAGTCTGGAACATCATGCCAGTCCGCGTGGAGAGGCGAACTGAGCTGCACTGGCTGAGATTCCCCATCGTTGGTTGCCATGACTTCTGGCCAAAGGGATGTTTGTACTGGCTGCAAGGCCGAGTGTATCATGAGGAGTCAGATCAGGTCACCCAGAGCGGTTAAGCCTGATACAGCTAATCGCAGAACCAATAGGAGCTCATCCCACGGCGTTGAGCGTGAGGATAGTCGACAGCGCGAACCCCAGAGGACCAGCGAAAATAGGACCGCTTCCTGCCAGCGCCTCTATTTAAGTGGTTGGGGATTTATCTGGCCGAGAAGCATCCTGAAAGGCCTCGAAGCGCCGCTCCGTTGAGCCACCGACCCCGGTCCTGGCCGTTTCCTCCATCCCACTGCGCCGGAGCCGACTTTGCGGGAATATCCTTGCCCAGCTGGCGGCCATGTCACTAGTTAGGGTTTCCAGAGCCGGTGATTTGATCTAACTCGAATGACGTTATGCGCCGTGTAAAAAGGCGCAGCAGGTCTCACGAGAACGCCGCTGAGGCGGCCGTTTGTATCCGTTCCCCGCACTCGAGACGGGGAATAAAGATCAGACCATACAGCTCTACCTAAAGTCCATGCTTGCGTTGAGCGGAGTCGGGGATGTTGGGCTGAGATGGCCGGATCTGCCGAATTGAAAGTCTTTTGCGGGCGTGAGGAGCTGGGGAGCCAGCTTGCCGACGTAGCCACGGAGAGGCCATGGCTGCGACTGTGACTGCTGTCTCCATCTCGAATGGCATCTCGCCAAGACATAGGGACCACGTCTAAGCCCTCAGTAGACCCTCCTGCGTATATTGCTGGCACCTAGCTTCGTCTCAGCGTGGTCACTGTCTGGCTGAATGCATTTCCAGTGCCGCGCGGTAATGCCGAGCCAGGCGTCAACTCGGACGCCATCCCAGATATTGGCGTTTTAGGAGGGACCTGAAGGCCCCGCCAACAGTGAGCAAGCTGCTGGAGATAGATAGAGCCCCTCGCGGGCAGACAAATGGCGTCAGGCACGACGATGGCCGTGGTCAGGGATCACGGAGGACCAAAGACGGCTGCCCCTTTTTCTCCAGGGATTGCCCGTCGACCCGTCGACCCGTGTGGGCTTACATAATGGGACCTGTCGGTGGCCTGAGCCCTGTCTCTAGCGCCCTGGCTGCCCGGCTTAGCCGGCATCCCCCGCAGCATTCCGGGAGATGACACGTGCTAAAAATCACCTAAACCTGGGGAAGCCAGTTCGCGAAGGAACAACCCAAGTCTCACCGCCCAGCTCTCCCCGCCCGCTCTTGTGCCTCGTCGACAGCACCGATCCCGCACATCCGCCCCGAACGTCGCAGGAAAAGGACGCGGTCTGGATTACTCGCGTTTCCGATGGCAGGTACCGCGACAGCGGGGGCTGCTGCTGCAGCCTCGGCCGCCATCAGCCCAAAGCTGCCGCTGCTCACCCGACTCGCCTACGCGGCCATTGCCTTTGCGCTCCAGAACTTCCTGGTCGCCCCGACAATCCTCTTCATGAAGATCAGGCACCGGCTCAAGCCCCCACGCATCCGGCCCAACATTGTCAAGACGTATCCTTGCCGCCCGCGTCTTCCAGTAAGGTCAGTCCGTCGAGGCGGGGCAGGGTCTCGATCAGATCGAGTCGGGCGCAGGCGCGCGGCAGAGTGCCTGGGAGATGGGACGCGAGACGAAAGAGATAAGAGAGAAGACAAATAAGAAAGGGTTCTGACTAGCGGCCCGCGACACTCACGGCCCTGTGGCATTCAGGATCTTCTTTCCCACGGCCTACGACCCCGCAAAGCCCCGCGAGTTGCCCATCCTTTTCACCATCCACGGCGGCGGCTTCGTCTTGGGCACCCCGAATGACACGGACAGGTGGAACTACCAGTTCTGCAACACCCACGGAGCCCTGGTCGTAGCCCTCAACTATGCCAAGGCGCCCGCCAATCCCTTCCCAGGCCCAATCCACGATGTCGGCGCCCTGCTCCTAGCGGTCCTCGACGACCCGGCCCTCTCCAAGCACATCGATGCAGACCGCGTCGCCCTCCTTGGCTGGTCTGCCGGCGCCAGCCTTACACTGGCGGCGGCGCAGATGCCGCAGGTTCGCAGCCGACTAGCCGCCATCGTGCCAATGTACCCGGCCGCCGACGTCACCGTGGGCTGGGCCGTGAAGGAGAAGCTGCGGCGCTACAAGCCCGAGCTCGGGGGGCTGCGTGCCAGGCCCCACGACTATCTGGCCGGCATCTCAAAGGTGTTTACTTGGGCATATGTGCCAACCGGCCAGGACCTGCGCGACCCCCAGATCAGCCCCTTCTTCGCCCAGACGTCCGCCTTGCCGCCCCGCGTTTTTGTCGTCGGCTGCGAGCTGGACCTACTCTCGCACGAGGCCTGGAGGCTCGCCTCTCGTCTGGCGGGGAGGCCTGTGCCTGCCATGGATGAGGTAGTAGGGCGTCAGGCACTCACGCCCAAGGGAAAGCTTGTGAAGGACGACGAGATCTACCACTGGGAAGTCCAAGTCGCGCCTTCTACTGAAGAGGGCGGAGATGCTCGAGAAAGATGTTACAAGTGGCTGCTGGTGCCGGATTCTGTCCATGGGTTCGACATGGAAATCCAGTCATTTGTGGGCAACGACCCGGCGCACCTGGCCGACATGAAGGCCAAAACGGCTGAGGTCATCGGCTTAATCGGTGATTGGCTTTGGAAGTAGACGTGCCATATGTTGGCTGTCGGAGAGGGCTGTCTGACCACTCTAAATTCTGACGGGTGCAGTTGCTCGAATCAGCGTACCATTCTAGCTGCTGACACCTGATGAAGCCACCATCTATGCCGACGTTCATTGCCCGGATTCGCTGGCCTTTCCGTCTGTTTGCAGAGTGGGCGTGCCTGAAAGTGGTTCCCGCAGTGCTACCGATAAGCTAGTCTTAGTCTCCGTGTCATCCAGCCCACCACCTATATCCACCCGGCCGCACCTTATGTGCATTCAACGCCACCCACCTTGTCAGACGACATATGTCGAGCACCGCATGTCGTCCAACCCGGCCTCGCAATTTCAATATCACAGCTTCCGAGGGCTTGCATCTGTCGTTTTGAGCACTGGCGGGCGGTGGTCTAGACCTCGCTTCTACGAAGCACTGGCCCTCCTTTTCCGCTGCAGGCTGCAGGCTGCAGGCTGCTGCGGTGCAACTGGAACCTAGGGCGTGTAAGAAAAGCCTCGGCCAGTGGCGTTGCCCGTTTGGTGTCGTGCTTACAACCACTGCACTATAGGTAGGGCTGTATGCGGACTGCCAATGTTGTGTCCACATCCCAGACGTTGGTGAAGTCATTGCACAGGGCTTGAAGACACGTCCAGGCTCGACAGCCCTGGAGGCAGCAAAAAGTAGGAACAGAAGCAAATTTTAGGCGACGATCCCCTCAGGATAGGCGCCGAAAGACATCATCGACGTTCGATATACCAAACAAGAGGGTGCCACGACAAGACAGGGCAGCTTTCTCATCCTTGCCCAAACAGCTTGTCTGTCTTTACCCCTCCACTACCCAGGGGGCTTACTCATTGGCAGGGGAGCAGGGGCAGCAGCTCTCCAATGGCCGTGCTTGCCACCAGAGTGCCTACCTAGCAGAGGACATCGCGGTGAACCCCGCTTCTCGATAGCAGCCAGCCACGTCGGTGAAAAAAAAGCAAATGGACCGGCTGCTAGCATGCACGGCAGCCTCAGCAAACACAGGGCGCGGACGGTGCCTCCGCGATTGGCCGTTGCCGCTGCCTAGTCGCGACCGAAGAGGAAAGGATAGGTGGCATGCACGTCCTTGAGTAGCCAACCGGAAACGATTTGACAGAGAAGCGACCGATCAGGCCGCCCGAGAGAAGGCAGCGATCATCGATGTCCGGTCGACCAGCCAGCCACACGGGGGCTGGACTTTCCGGGAGGGCTGAGATGCCCATGCGGACTGACCGGCTGCCCGCGACAACCTAAACATTTGGACCCGTTTGGACCCCAAGGCTATTTTTCACGCAGCTTCATGTTCTTCAGCTGACCACGAGCTGCCGCATACGGCAGGCTAGGTTCTCGCCAAGAGCTAAGCAACCGCAGCCGCCCTCCAGACACCCCTCCGTCATGCCTTCCCCATGAGCCGACCTACGTGGCCTTGCTGTCTTGCTTGCGACGACCATACCCTCCATGCTGTTTCGTCTCCGATTCAACTAGCCACCCCTCGTCTCGCTTGTTATTTATCACGATATATAAGTATCGTCAGCCGCCCCCCTTGGGTTTGATACCGAACATATTCTTCCCAGAGAAAACCTCGCTCCTCAAGTAACTCTAAGCAACCTACACATTCTCTTGACCAATTCACCCACACGTAACCTACTACCCCCTCATCGGGTTCGTTTTTTGGACATCTTCATATCCTTTAGCAAAGATACCCTTTCCAGAACAGCACTCAAGTCACAGCCATGTGCCAAAGCAACCGCTGCTACATCGTCCCCCAGTACCTCCTCCGCAGCATCGTGGAAAGCAACGATGAGGAAGTCACCCCCGAGGTCCGCCAGAATGCCGACTGGACCCTGCGTGAGGGCCTCGTCGACCTAAGGGCCAAGCGGGCCGACATCTTTGCTTCCCTGACCGTCCCGCGCGGCTTCCACGCGCAGCAGCAGCAGGCGATCCCCCACCGCCACAGCATCGTCCCGGACGTCCTCTTCCAGCAGATCGCCGACAGCGACGAGGTGGACGAGGACACGCGCGGCCACGCCCGCGCCGAGCTCGAGCACATCCGCTCCAAGATCGCCGAGTTCAAGGCCGTCCAGGAAGGGTCCGCCTCGGCCCAGAAGCCGACGCTGCAGGCCGAGGGCGCCAGGGGCGACGAGAAGGAGGGCGAGGTCGCAAAGTTCTACCGCGCCATCTACGACGCGCAAAAGAACCCCAAGGAGTCCAAGCTGCCGGGCAAGGCGATTCGTCTCGAGGGCCAGGATCCCACGGGCGACGTAGCCGCCGACTCGGCCTACGACAACGGCGGCCTCGTCCTGCAGTTTTACAAGGACAAGTTCAACTGGAGCTCGATCGACAACAAGGGCATGCACGTGGTGAGCTCTGTGCACTTTGGCATCAACTACGAGAACGCCTGTGAGTTTTTGATGGCCTCTTGGGAAACCTCGCTAGGAAACACCATGGCCATACCCGGTGTACTGACAACGAAACTCTCACAGACTGGGACCCCAGCAAGATGCAGATGGTCTACGGCGATGGAGACAAGTTCTTGTACAAGTTCGCTGAATGTATTGACGTCATCGGACACGAAATGACCGTAAGTCTTGGATCCCGTTACACTGTTACAAACCGCGAGCCGAGTTGAAGTATACAAAGCCAGGGGGGGGAGACATGGCCAAACATCATGGATCAACTCTGCTAACACGTACCGATTCCCATCACACAGCATGCCATCACGGAGCACACCAGCCCCCTCAACTACCAAGGCCAGTCCGGCGCCCTGAACGAGCACGTGTCGGACGTGTTTGGCATCATGGTCAAGCAGTTCAAGGAGCAGGAGAAGGCCGCCGAAGCAGACTGGTTGATCGGCGAAGGCTGCCTCCTGCCCGGCGTGAAGGGCGTCGCCCTCCGCAACATGAAGGAGCCCGGCACCGCCTACAACGACCCTCGCTTCGTAAGTAGATCTTGTTGCCGTTTGTTTCTCTTCACACACCCGCCTGAACTTTCCCGCAATGACTGACACCGCCATCCCCACCACTGCAGGGTAAAGACCCACAGCCCAACCACATGAGCGGCTTCAAGGTCATGACGGCGGACAACGGCGGCGTGCACATCTACTCGGGCATCCCGAACCGCGCCTTCTGCCTGGCCAGCATCGCTTTTGGTGGCTTCAGCTGGGAGAAGGCGGGCCAGATCTGGTGGCACACGATGAACTCGGGCCGCATCCCGCCGCGCTGCAACTTTGTCCAGTTCGCCGACGTGACGGTCGAGGTGGCGGACGAGAAGTACGGCGAGGAGGCGGCAAAGATCGTGCGCGAGGCCTGGAACACGGTTGGCGTCGTGCGGAAGCAGGGCCTCTAGGTGCACGTCCGCGACCAAGCCAGCATGCTCCGCCACAGGGCGGCGGCGGGCGGCGGCGGCGCTCTGCTGCGGCCGACGGGGCCTGGCGGCGAGGCCGTCGTTCCGGGACCCCGGCCGGCGGTGGTGGGCGCGCGGGCTGCTGCTACTGGGCAGAGAGAGGTGGGTGGTGAAGGCGTCCCTCCTCCGGGCTGCCCCATCGCCGCCGCGTCGGACCGCGAGGAGAGGAGGAACCGCAGCATGGCCAAGGGGCTGAAGTACAAGTTTGTCGGGCGGCGTGCGGCGGATGGGCATGGGGATTGTGACACCACTTTCTAAGTAGTATGTTTGGAGTGCAAGCTGGATACTAGGAATCTGGGGCTCATTACTGGTGCTTCGATCCACGTCTAGCAGTAAAACAACAAACTAGACTAACTCATTGAAGCCACCACCATACTCTATATAATACGCTCCATCGTACCTACCACTCACCTACTTCAGAGGTTGGCGACTCCATTCCTATTGCTGCTCCCTGAAGACATCATTCCTTCCCTCCTCTTGACCCGTCCCCACTACGCAGATTCCGTATAACTGGACGGCGAAGCACACACGTCCGATTGAGGGCGACTGACCCGGAGTAGAGGCACGGGGCACCCCGAACTTTCCCACCCCGAATGACGTCATCTTCGGAACGTAAAGCAACCGGCAGGCAGGCGGTGGCATGCGGGCGCAGTCGACCGTGCACCCTGGAATGTGCCGGATCCCGCCAGCTGATTGGTGCGTTCATAGGTAGGTGCCTGGTCTCCAGCCCCACAGCCAGAGCCCACGCAGCAATGGTGGGTCCGCCACCCCCACCATGCCTGGTTGACTTAAATTCGGCCCCATCGGAGTTGCTGACGACCTGGACACACATCTTCTTTGCCTCTCCATCTCCCGGCGAAGCAAAGGCGCGCAAGCAAAATGGCATCCTTGCACGACTCTCTCCCCTTGCGTATCGCTCAGCCTGCGCGACGTCGACATCGAGACAACAAGAGACTAAGCAAGAACCGAGACGAGCGCAAGCCAGACAACAATGTCCCGAATGTATCTCTAAAGAGTGTCGAGTTTTCGATCGAGACACGTGAAATCAGCATCACAATCCCCCCAACGCAACGCTCACCGAGACCCCAATCAAAGCGTCTCCGATCGGAGCGTGAATCGGACCATGATCTAGTGAAGCGACACGAGCGCTGGCTCTCGAGCCAGATCGCCGAACTGGAAAGCTATACATGGTGGGGTAAAATTAGCGCAATTGCAAACATCTGCAAACTTGGTTGGCCGAAGTAAGGAAACACAACATGATAATTGTCAAGAGTCGCTGCTAACACATTTGGAATCATCGACAGGGACCGCTGGCTTGGCGTTGACGACCAGCTTGTCAAATACGCCACTTTTCCCAAGCGGCGATCGTCAACCGTGTTCGCCTATCTGGAGCTTCCTCAAGAAGGCGACTTCGAGATTCCCGAGGCAAAGGATGCAGCTAAGGGCTACGCGAACGCGGCCGCTCTCTTTTACCTGTGGCGCCCAGCCCCGATGATCATCTTTGCGACGCAACGTTATCGCGAATGGATTGACATGTTCACATACTCGATCTCTGGACCGTCTCAACACATCAAAATCCACCGATATCGTTTCGACTTTTACGATGCCCAAATCGACAAAAAGGTGCGCGGCGCCATCTCCGCCGTGATGGATGGGCCAGACCAGGCCCTTTCTTGATTTCCGGGTCGCCTGGTCCACTGCACATGGGTGGAGTTTCTTTGGTGGGCACCACCAAGTGCTTGTACGGAGGTGTGAGGGTCAAATAATCTACAGTGGGGAGGTCACTCGTGAAGCGAGGGCAAGGGCCAGGGGTATGCACTAGCCAATCCATTAAAACGCGTGTGGGCGGATTCGAATTGGTGCTGCGATTGATGTTGAAAAAGAAATGTAGGCTAGGCTTTATTTGGTAGGGGCTGAACATGGGGTGCTCTTGGCGCTACCTCGAAAATGGCGATTTTTTTCGCCTCCTATCTCCGTAACAGAATGATGTCTCGTGGGGCACGTGGGCCAGGTGGGTGGATGATTGGTGAATTGGTAGCTGAACGGCCCATTTTTTCTCCCACCTTAGCTAAGGTGTTTTTTAATGTTTATGCAACGTATATGTAAAATTTTAATGTTTATTGAAAATGTATAAAAAAATAATAAAAGTAAAAAAAAAAATATATCATTTATTATTTTATTTGAAAATGCGTATGCGTTAACGCATACGCACTTTGACCCCCCCCCCCCCCCCCCCCCTGGCACCTTGGCTGAGGTGTTTATGTCCATATTTTCCCACCTTGTCTGAGGTGTTCGCCCACCTTGGCTGAGCTGACTACTCCCGAGTTAAATCCAACGTCCTGACCTTGTCTTGATCGCAACTTACGTCCCGAAACGGAACTGACGGCGTGAGATCGCGCGACTTGGTGCCCAACCCAACCCTTTCGTCGTTTTCCATCCCTTGTCAAAGGCAGGCTGGGACAATGGGAGTTGGGCGGACGCTGCTCTCGCTGGGCCTCGATCGCCTGGACGAGAGGCTGTGGAACACTGTCTGGCAGAATTGGTATCTGGGCTTCACCTCCTTTGGCGGCCCACCGGTGCATTTCAAGATTGTCAGCACCATCCGCGCACACAAACCCACGCTCTTCGCGGCGAAATAACTTATCAGCTAACAGCATTTTCCCTAGTTTTACGACAAGTTCACGACGAAGCTAGGATGGATAGAGGAGCAAACTGTGAGCGCCGTCCCGAGCCCGCTCTTGTGTTGTTCAAAACTAGATGCCTACGAGAGAACCGTATCTGACCTGTACCTGCGGGCATCACCAGTACCAAGAGCTCTTCAGCGTTTGCCAGGCCTTCTCCGGCCCCGGCAGCACCAAGATGCACTACTGTATCAACCTTATCCACGATGGCTTCATCCCGGCCACGCTCGGATTCCTAGTTTGGAGGCAAGTTTCGGGGCCTTCTGTCTTCGGCAGCCCTGCTTCCCTGCCATTCCTTTCTGGCAACCCTAAATGCAACCGCAATGATCGCGCTCCCTCCAAGGACCACTGTACTGACATACCGTGAGAAAACAGTCTTCCCGGCGCTCTGGGCATGTACGGCCTCGCCGTCGGCGTCGCCAACATCGGCCAATCGCTGCCCCGGGCCGTGTATGCGCTCCTGTCGGGCCTCAACGCCGCTACTGTCGGCATCATCGCCTTGGCCGCCGTCCAGCTCGCCCAAAAGGCCATCACGGACAAGACAACCCGCATTCTGTTATTTCTTGGCGCCGCCGCGGGTCTGTTGTACAACGCGCTCTGGTACTTCCCCCTACTCATGTTCGCCGCCGGCATCGCCGCTGTCGTGCACGACTATCGCTGGCTGCACGGACCCGTCAAGGCCGTCTGGCGGCTGGCGACGCTGCAGAAGCTTAGGGGAAGGGGCGCCCGGGCGGCTAGAGATGACACGGTCGAGATGCAGCCGGCAGGGTCAGCGCAGCCCGAGAACGGCGGGGGGATGCCAACAACTTCCCGCCCGCCGACAGGTGACCAGGGCCTGACGCGCAGGTTGCCTGGCTCGAGCCAGGAAGCGGCGGGTTCGGCAGCCACAAGCCCCGTGGCAGGGGAACCCGACTCGCATCAACCTGAAAGTCGGGCCGTGCCGGACTCTCACCAGCTCGACATGTCGTGGCAGTTCGGGCTATTCATAATCGTCTGTTTCTTCATCTCGTTCATCGTCATCATGGTCCTGCGCGGCATCTCCCTGCCGGGCGGAAAGTCGATTTTGTACAGCCTGTTCGCCAACATGTACCTTGCCGGAACCATCATTTTCGGCGGCGGCCCCGTCGTCATTCCCCTCCTGCGGGAATACATCGTGGCGGAAGGGTGGGTGAGCCCCCGTGACTTTTTGGTCGGCCTCGCCATCATCCAAAGTTTCCCGGGCCCGAATTTCAACTTTGCCGTCTATCTCGGCGCGTTGACGGCGTCCAACGCGGGATACAATCCAGCCGCGGGCGCGGTGCTGGGGTATCTCGGCATATTCCTCCCGGGTCTCATCACGGTGCATGGCACGATCGGTGTGTGGAGCGCTATCCGGGGTCTGCGATGGGTCAAGTCTGGGCTCAGGGGCGTCAACGCGGCTGCGGTCGGGCTGATCTTTACGGCCGTGTACCGGCTGTGGCAAATCGGCTGGATCGACGAGGGCTTCCAGAACGGTACGAGCCTGGCCGACGACCCTTGGTGGGTTGTGGTGTCGGCCACGAGTTACGTCGGTGGTGCCTGGTTCGGCGTCAACGCACCTATCGCGATTCTTTTCGGCGCAGTCCTAGGTCTTGTTCGATACGGGGTTATCTCTGGGAGCTAGTTTGGCTAGGGGGTTAATGTGCATGTATCTTGATGCGGTGTCCCCTTTGTGCAACGAGAATGTTTCCGTCGACACAGGCAAAACACCCAGCGGAAGTAATGCCTTGAAACAAGAGCCAGAAGGGGGCGGAAACAATACACTCCGGCCTTAATACAATTCATGGAGCCTTTCGGCTAGGATAGTCTCACCACTGAACCACCACATCCGCCAAGCCGTCATTGACGGTGCTCAGACGTATCTTGGCGGTCGACGCTCCCTCTCCACATCCCAGGGCGACGTCTTTTAGGGGGAGAATGTCCGCAGCGTCCGTAGTCGAACAGTATGTCGTCCCCGCCGTGCCAGTAGGCATTTGCAGACTAGTACATAAGCGGCCCAGATAGATTCGAGCTCCCAGTTTGGTAATCAAGTCGGCGCTCAGACATCACGGCGCGGCGCGGTGGCTGGACTCTCGACCACCTCGGCTTCTGCGAACCTCTTGAACTTGATCTGGGGCGTGTCAATACAAAAACTGGCCAGCTGGTCAAGTGCAACTTCGAGAGAATATGAGGGGTATCGGGCGGTTATCTGCTACCTAGCTGCATATAATACTGAAAAGACTCCGCCGGATCAACTATAAGCGAGCTGGCAGACAGAGGGTGAGAAATGGAATGTTGGAAATGGCAGAGATCGGCGGCCATCAAAAAGCCAGGACTTCCTGTTTCGGCAAAATTGTCTCGACCGATTCGTGGGCCGTATTTTCTCGGCCATAACCGAGAGTTCGACCATTGGCCTACGTTCATGTACACATCGGCTCCTTTTTACCCTCCAATCAGCGAGCCCGGAAAAAGAGGCTGAAATTTCCTGCCCAGACAAATTACCGACAGGTCGACATGCCGCATCGTGGTTCGCAGGGGACCCTCCGGCAGAGGATCTGCCCAGACTCGCGAGGTCTGCTCCGCGGGAATAGCAGGGGTTTGGCGCATCCCCCCGCCGCACTATCCATGCTAGGCAATCTCGCAAGACCTCCTCCCGCGCGCGCGTGCGGGAGATCAACAAAGGATCTGGAGCTGGGTTCAGTGCTGGGCATCAAGCTGGGGTTGCATGACTGCCAAAGCAACTCAATTGCACAGCCGTCTACCAGGTTCACGAGGGGGTGATGGGTCGTGTTTCAAGCCCCCTCCCTGAAATGCCACACGTTTTTTCCCACCAAACACAATCACCCGGCCTGGCAAGGTATAACTGGTCAATGTTGAAATGTTACGGTATATAAACAGATTCAACCACCTCTGGTCGAAATTCGGATGATGTTCTATACCCCAGGGTTCCCATCTGATATCCTACTTCCATTCTTTTAGTCGCTGCTCTGCTTCGCATCTTTATATCTGAGATCTCAGTTCCAATCCAGGACAGCTGGCCTTGGTCCCTTCGTTTCTCCACCTGTCTATCGTGAAGCTCCTGACCACTTTCACTCTTTTCCCGAAAATGAAGTTCACCGTCGCCTCCACCATCGCCCTGCTGGCCTCGCTCGCCTCCGCGCTCCCCACGGGACCGGCGCTCGAGAAGCGGGCCAGCGTGAACGACGCCTGCAACGTCGGGTTCGCCACGCTGAACGGCGGCACCAAGGGCGGCGCCGGGGCGGCCACCACCATCGTCAAGACGTACGACGAGCTGGCGGCTGCCGCCAAGAAGACGGGCCCGGCCGTGATCCTGGTGCAGGGCAACATCTCGGGCAACAAGAAGGTGACGGTGACGTCGGACAAGACCATCGTCGGCGCCGCGGGCTCCTCCCTCACGGGCGCGGGCCTGTTCGCCAAGGGCGCCAGCAACATCATCGTGCGCAACATGAAGATCTCAAAGGTGTCGGCCGACGGCGGCGACGCCATCGCGTTCCAAAAGTCGACCAACATCTGGGTCGATCACTGCGACCTGTCGTCGGACCGGAACAACGGCAAGGACTTTTACGACGGGCTGCTGGACCTGACGCACGCGACCGACTTCGTCACCGTCTCCAACACGCACTTCCACGACCACTTCAAGGTCTCGCTCGTCGGGCACTCGGACTCCAACGCGGCCGAGGACACGGGCAAGCTGCGCGTCACGTACGCCAACGACCGCTGGGCCGACGTCGGCTCGCGCCTGCCGTCGGTCCGCTTCGGCACCGCGCACGTCTTCAACAGCCTCTTCAGCAACGTCGAGGGCTCGGCCGTCAACACGCGCATGGGCGCCCAGGTGCTCGTCGAGTCGTCCGTGTTCGACGGCGTCAAGAACCCGATCGCCTCGCTCGACAGCAAGGGGAAGGGCGGCGCCGTCGTCAAGGACGTCATCGGCGGCCAGAGCTCGGCCCCGGCCGGCACGCTCAACACCGTGCCGTACAAGTACACCCTGCTCGGGTCCGCCAAGGTCAAGGCTGCCGTGACCGCCTCCGCGGGCCAGACTTTGACCTTTTAAAATCTGCGACTTTAGCGGCACCTCATACATAGCATAGCCCAGTATGCATCTTTCTTTCTTCTGTAAATATTTCTGTCATGTGTACATCTATTCCTTGAGCTCTAGCCTCATTTCTGGGGCGACGTGTATATATCAAAACATGATATCAGAGCCGTGCGTGCGCACAGCATTTTGCAAAACCAAGAGAGTTCCCACCAGTGCGTGTTTTTCCCTTTTTCCTTTCCATATCCTCCCTGTGTACAATGTCTTTTTGCTTGCTCCCTTAAACAGAAACAGGCGCGTGAAGCTTGTCCAGGTTGGCGTTCAGCGCCTCGTACCACACGGCCGCCATCTTGGCGTAGCCCTCTGCGCTGGGGTGCAGGTTGTCGCCGGGCGCGAGGTCGTCGACGGTGATGAAGCTGCCGTTATTCATGTCCGCGAGCGCGATCTGGGCGCTGCGCGGGTGGGTGCGCGCCAGGTCCCTGATCTCCTCGTTGAAGTAGCGCGTGCAGTCCTGCAGCGCCTGGTCGCTCTCGCGGCGCGGCAGCAGCGTCGACGTGATGAGCAGCGGGGCCGTCGCCGCGTCCCCCGCGTAGGCCGGCCCGAAGACGGCGTCGATCATGTCGCTGTGGATGCGCCGGGCCTCCTCGCGCGTCAAGCGCGCCGTGCAGTCGTTGGTGCCGACGTTGAGCAGCAGCAGGTTCGGCTTGAACTGGTCGATGACGCCCTTGGCGCGCGTCTGGTTCGCCAGCGGCTGAGTGCGGATGCCGGGGTATCCTTCGTGGTGCTGAGTTTTTTTTTGGGGGGATCGCGGACTACGATGTCAGCCAAGGCCCGCATGCGAATCGTAGAAAGCAAGCATCGCAAAACTTACGTTCTCGGCGCTGTTGCCGCTCCTCTGGGTGCCCACGTAGTGCAGCTGCCAGCCGTCCGCGACGAGCCTCTCGAGTAGCGGCTCCCTGTACCCATCCGTGAGCTTCCCTGCCGAGAAGCCGGCGGTGATGGACGCGCCGATGGGCATGGCCCTCAGGGGAAACTCGGCCTTTTGCGCGTCGGCGCATCCGGCAGCGAGCACGGCCAGGACGGCGGGGAACAACTTCTGCCACTCGCTGAGCATTTTGTTTACGGTCTTGTGGAAGGTGAAGAGAATCAAGCTAGAACAAATATGAGAAGAGTTGTGCTGGATGACGGTAAGAATCGTTTGTAGCTGGCGGCCAGGTTGGGATGGTTCTTCAATCCATCATGGCTTACGGAACAGACTGGCACTGGCGCAGCCCTTAAGTACACGACTCCCAGAGCGGGTAAGCGGAGCGAGGCCAGCAGCGCACGACGATCCGAACCATTTTTCGCATTTCTCCCGGTTGCCCTGTGTCAGCCGGTATGTAGCAGTGCTCCCGGCTTTTTGATGGCCGGCCACCTCCAACATTCCTTTTCCAAGTGGATCTGTAGAGTGGGGATAATTAGGGTATGGCACAAGGATCCCCATTATGGACCCACTAAGGGTTCCGCGGTTGCCTGGTAAAAAACCTGGCGAAAAACAAAAGAAAACAAATCTAGCCAAGGCTAGATCGCGTTCTGTTTGTGCCAAGGCTAGATCGCGTTCCGTTTGCATTCCTTGCCCACGCACGACCATACCCCCCCGCGTGCCCCCCTGCCGAAACAAGCCTCAAAATGTCGTATTCGGAAACCATCACATCGGTGCGTGCACTCTTGAAATACATCGAGAAGCACAATACCGAGCATCTACGAAATGCTCCAAGCATCGATGCACCGAGCAAATGGGACGCAAGCTACCTCTTCAAATGTCGAGTAGTTTGCCCCAAGCCAGACGGAAAGCGATTCCTTGGCATAGCCAAGGTCGAGGACGAGAATAACCCGGAATGGGAAGAGGTTATCAAACCTTTCCCAAAGCGGCTGAACCGGCGGCCATACCCCCACTACCACCAGCATTTTCGGACGGGCACGGCAGCGAACTACTGGGAAGCGCTTCAAACGTTGAACATGGCCATCCGTAGCGATTTCGCGCCTCCCAGCACCAAGCGGAGTAGGTCACGAGAAAGAGGGCTGCGCCCAGCCCAGGAGACAACCCCCGAGTATAAGAGTACAATGAAGATCACAAGCAACTCGCCAGAAGAGGGGAGCTCAGACAGCTCCGATGGCAGGGATGATCCCAGTTTCGCACCAGCAGCCGGGCACGACATGACAGCCCTCCCAGAGGATGCAACGGTCAACGCGATTATGGCGTGCATCAAGCACTCCTTGACCTGGTACGGACCGCAAAAGGGCGAAGTCCTGGGCGACGAGGACTCGGTCGAGGATGACGATGGCGACGACAATGAGGACTCGGATGACGATGACGACGACAGCCAACAGCCCGTGCTATCCGCCTCACCGATCCGGTACGCAATCAATGGGAAAATTCCGAGTTTTCGCGCCAAGATACAAGCCACGAGTGACGGGGAAATCCAAGCCAACAATATCATCGACGGTGAATATGCCATCTCGCGGAAGGAAGTGGTGGCGATCATTGAGGCGAAAAGGCGGTTCACACAACAGCACATTCAAGATGGCAAAGCCACCATTCCGGATCGCGTTCTAGCCCAGGTGGTGGGCGAGGCGTTGGCCCTTCGGGGAACGGAGCTGTGTCGCAATGAGTAAGGATAACATCCGCTTCTTTACATTATATTCTATCAATCGCAACTAACATTCCTTCTAGCACCGTCATCACCATCGTTGCCATCCGCAACTATGTCTGCTTCTTGTCGGTTCACATACCAGCTACATATTATGATGGGACCGTGAACGATGTGAGGGATCCAAAGATGGACATCATCACTGTCAAACCGACCGCCTGGCTCAATCAGGACGATTCAAAGGGCCGCAAGGACATTCTCTGCAATGTTGCACGAATCGTTGAATGGTCGAGGCTGGGGAAGCGGATGAAGAAGGACTGATAGTTGCCAGATCGACGGGCCTCGTATGGAGGGTGGAGGGAATTGCAGCCGTGCCAAGCTTTCCCCCGCGAACGACCCGAGGCTTGTTTGGTGGAGAGCCCCCCCCCCCAACATTCGAGGTGCACTCTCCCCTCAGGCTTAATCTTCGGCCTATTTGTCTGAGCTGGGCGCCATCCGTCAACGCTCGCGCATGGCTGCGACTCATGATTCTATCCTGTGTGGAATTGCGCCCTTCATAGGGTATTACTTCGTCCAAGTGGAAACAGGGAAATTACGTCCATCCCCTTGCTCGATTTGGGTGCCGGTGATTTATTATTGTAAGCTAGCGCTGGTGTCGCCTCCTCCACAACGCGGTTGTGGCTTTGCAGCAAAGAATGACGGAATAGCAAGCATGATTTTAGCCCCGATGCTTTACACTGTAGACGTTATTCCCTTCCTGTTTAGCCATTCCTTTGACGGGCCCACTGGGCCCACTGGGCCCCGCATAACGTTATCGCTCTCAGCTTTGTCACCGAGCTGGGCAGTCTGTATCGAAGGGTTCCTGGGAAAGAAACAAAAGCTCCCAATGGCTCCATCAGGGTCAGCACTGGCTGAGTATGTCTTCGCATGGCCAACTCGGCTTTACCAAGCCTCCAAGCAGCCCATCGGGGATAAATCAGAGGCACCATGACCGGCAATGACGATCCAAGCACGGGCTCGCAGCCAACACAGGCAGCAACAGGGCCAGACACTCGGGAGCGGAAAACGCGCCGCAGCGAGCGGGGGAAGCTCGCGCAGCGCGCCTACCGCAAGCGACACGCGTCCAGGTTCCGGAAGCTCCAGGAGGATAACAAGGCCCTGTGCCGCATCATCTCCCGCCTCGACAGCACCCTGCAGGCCCAGGGGCTCCTAAGCGCCGAGGTCGCGGCCATCCTCGCGGAAGCGACGGGGCTCTGCCGCGACGACACGAGCGATGGGGCCACCACGGAGCAGCAGCAGCAGGGAGCCGGCCACGAGCCCGATGCGTGTCGCATGGACAGTCGCGCGCGGCCCAGCGGGGAGGCAATTCGACAGGACGCCGCAGTGGAGGCGGCGGCCGACTCGCGTCACGTCGTGGTGGCCACGCAGGGGGACCCGGCTGCCAGCAGCGCCCCAACCCCGCCACCACCGCCTGGCAGCGGCGCCGGCACTTGTCTGCATGAAGCCGCCCCGTCGGACGTCCCCAACAAGACAACGATCCTCGCATCTTCATCCCACGTCGACGACTGTGGCGGCGGCGACGACGCGGCGCCCCTGGGGAACCTCTCGTGCAACCCCGCCGTGATCCAGTACTACCTCAACGAGGGCATGCCGACCTTTGCGGGCTGCATTTTCTGGGCCTGCCTGACGCAGACGGTCGAGGTGTTTGAGGGCTCCGAGCGCGGCGGCGCGAGGCAGGAGGAGGAGGCGGTGGCGGGAGCTACTGCTGCTCCTGCTGCTGCTGCTGCGCCCGAGACCCGGCGGCGGGATCCGCAGCAGGGGACTGGGGCGGCGGGAGGATCGGGGCTGCTGGACCTTATGGTGGAGCCGCCAAACTACGGCCGCTGCCTGCGCCGCGTCTTTGCGCGCTCCGAGCACGTCGGTGACCCGGGCTTCCTGCCCCGCCTCGAGAGGTGCCGGGCCCACTACCTGCGCTACGGCCGCGTCGTCGCCCGCCGTGGCTCTTCGCCCCTTTTGTACTGGGCGAGCTCGCCCGCCGACGACCCATGGCCGGTCACGTTGGGCGGCGGCGGCGGCAGCGGCAGCAGTGACGGCGAGGGCGAGCGGGGGAAGCCCCACGCCGGCTCGCCGTGGTGCCGCACCGTCGACGGCGTGGTGGCGCATCTCGAGGGCCAGATCGGCGGTGAGGCCATGCGCCGCCTGGACGCCTTCATGCGCAGGGCCGGCGCCGTCGTCAAGGGCGCCGACGACGGGACCTCGTCGGCGCGCGATGTCGAGTGGGCCAAGCGGGTGGGGGGCCTGGTGCTGTCGCTTGCGCAAAACTGTAAACTCGTCGACGGCGCCCTGCGCTGGGACGTTGTTTGGCTTTCCTTGATGGTCGGGGGCTGGGTGGACTATAATCGCTCGTGGATTTATGAGGAGGGTGGTGGGGACGAAGGGGATTATGAGGCCGTTGGCTGAAATGGAGAAGGTATGAATTGAGAGATTCTACACCTAAATCTAATATGAAGTACTCCTTGTAAATGCGTTCTAATCCGTCTTTTTCGATCCGTTCCATGCTGCATAGTCTCATAAGGAAAAAGAAAATAAACAAACAGCAAGGTATCTCCATAAAAAAAGGAAAATAAAAAGGCGCAAATATTAATAAAGATGAACAATATTGAGTAGAAGAGGCTGAGTGAAGAAGACTGGCAAACAAGAAATATCGTTCTCGCGACGCCCCGTGGTGAATATCACCCCAAAGGGGGTGTCGCAAAGTCCCGAATCAGCACTTGATGCCCTGCTCCTCGTCGAGCAGCTTGGCCTTCCGCATATGCGTGAAGAGGGCGGCCTCGCCGTCGGCGTGCCTCGCGTGCCCCTTGCCAATGACCATGAGGCTGTCGCGGAGGGCGAGCTCGTAGACGGCGGTGCCGAGCAGGGTGGCGGGGATGTTGACGAGCATGCCGATCGGGGCGTAGTTGCGGTGGGTGAAGGCCTCGGAGCCGAAGAGGATGCCGGCCACCATGCGGCAGCCCAGGTCCCTGGCCAGGTTGGTGCTGAGGGTGACGGCGCCGAAGCCCCAGATCATGTCGGCGTAGGCGATGCCGATGACGAACGGGATCGAGGCCGGGTGGATGAAGGGGTTGGACGGGTCCAGGGCGGCCCACACGACCACGGCGATGAAGGCGTCGGCGAAGAACTCGATCAGCAGCACGTGCAGCATGCTCTGCTGGTCGGCGTTGGGGTACGGCGCGAAGATGGAGGCCGGGCTGCCGCCGCCGACCAGGGGTTTGCCCTCGGCCACGAGGCGGGCGATCATGTCCTGGATGTGCGTCCAGTACATGGCGAGGATGGTCAGGGCGGCTAGGAAGGCGCCCAGGATCTGGCTGACGATGTAGCGCGGGACCTTGCGCCAGGGGAACCCCTGCCAGAGCGCCAGGCAGAGCGTGATGGCCGGGTTGAAGTGGCCGCCGCTGGTCGGGGCGCACGTGATGACGGCGAAGGAGACGCCCATGCCCATGCCCCAGCCGATCTGGAAGATGGAGCCAAAGGCCGAGGCGCTGTCCTTATCGAGTGAGTGGTGGATCGTGAAGGCGGCGATGGAGGCCAGGCCGGGGAAGACGAAGAAGAAGACGCCCAGGAGCTCTGCGATGCACTCGCGCAGCCAACGTGGCCTGCGGGCCTCGCGGCTGAGCTTGCGCTGCGACACGGGCTTGTACGGCGGCAGCTGCTGCGAGACGTGTCGCTCCAGCGCGTCGTGGACGGCGCAGTCGACCTGCTGGGCTGCCTGCTTCTTGTGGGGGGCCGAGAAGGACATTGACGACTGCGATGGCGTCAAGCAGGCGGGGCTGTCGCCGTGCAGGGTGTGGGCGCGACTCAGCGACATGTGCAGGTGGGATAGGGGGTCATTGTGGAGGTCGGATAAAGTGTCGTGGGGGAGTTCTAACGCCACTAGTGTTGAAGCCATAACGTAGGCTTTAATGTGTTTCCTGCGGTATATGGTATTGTTTGGTTCGGTGTTGGTTGGCTGGCTGTTGGATAGGGCTGATATCCGCAGCGGTGGAGATGATGGTTATGATGATGAGAGGAGTTGTAGCTCTCGACTCTAGATAAGGCTTGATGCTGATGATGAATAGGGGAAAACGCAAACTGAAGACGGCGACACGGGCTTAATATCCTTCATGGGAGAGGCACTGCCAAGGAGCCCTTGACCTGTGCCCAGGCCAAGGGCTGGTGATGGCCTACGACACTGAACGGGATATGGCGCTCGCCAAGATGAGGTGGTGTTGTTTTTGCCAAAGAGGCAAGGCCGAAGGCTGGCGGGCATGACAGCATCGCTTGATACCTTTACCGCCGAACAGCAAGCGAGCCTCGGAGCATGGCCTGGCGAAAATTTCGATCGGAGGAGACGAGAAAATTCTGACGAAATGAGATGCGCGCCACTCGGAGGCCGATGCCAGCGCGGGGGGTCATGAGCAAAAAGGTGATCAAAATGGCATATCCGCGGGGGACACAAACAAGACAAGCATTCCTCTTGGTTGCGCCTAGCCGCGCTTTGCGAGGGCCCAGCACTCCGTATCGGCCCGCGCCCCTGTAGTGGTGCCCCAAAAGCCTCCCACTGATAAGCCGACAACGTGATCTTCACTGGCGAGGTTCTGGAACCTGCTGGCCCCCTGTACGTAACGAGCGGTGACATGAGCCTAGACCCAGAGAGCCCAGGCCGGTGGGTGGCCCGCGCTGGGGCTGTATGAGGACAACGGCTCGATCGGGCCACGGGTGCGACCGTAGGGTTCAGTTGGGGGCTATGCCTGAGAGCATTCCCGACTTGCCGCCACACGAGAACCCGATGCTCGACACGAGCCAGAGCACGAGGCGGCGGGCTCTGCCCAAAGCCACGATGCGAATTTGGCATGCTGCTGGTGATGGAGGCCTAACCGGAGCAGGGCGATTGCTTCAAGTATCATAATCCCGCGGTTGACATCACTAAGTGCTTTTCTGTGTCTGCTTCTGTGGTCTTGCTTCCATATTTTGCTGGCCAGACTAAGTGTTTGCCTGGAATTTGCCTCGTGTGGCGAGACAGTTGACAAAGCCACGGGTCGATGCTAGGCCACACATGCATGCACGGCAGTCAAACCGTGGGCTGATCGCACGGTCCAGTCTGCCCAGCTTCGTGGCCGGGCGAGTCCGCTTCTCGGATCCCACCGCAAACGCCAGAGACACACTCTTTATTTTTCCGACAGTCGACGGGCCCCCAAGCCGGAAAAGAAAATCCTCCTACACTTGTGTTACCCAAAAGCTGCCTTCCCGCCCTCCTCTCGCAGTCGCTGTCACTTCTGGGATTCCTTTCTGGGGATCCTTTCATTTCTTTGCTGACGCTTGGCACCGAGCTCACTTTCCCTTTGCTTGTCGGAGTCGGCAGCCTATACTCCCGGTTGGATGGCAGGAACGAGCTCCAGACATGCATGTTCGCGTCCGTTGGTCCTTGGGCAGATCATTGCCAGGCGGTGATAAAACATGGACCGCAGAATCCAATGTGTTCCTCACCTGAATCAAGCAGCGCCAAGTTCAAGCCGTTGGCGCCACTACACAGTATGCCAGCGCAGAGGCTCCGGCTTTCCCTTTGCGTTCTCGTGCTCGCGAGTCTTCTGGCTGGTGGCCAGAGGGCAATTTCTCTAGCCCCCTCTCCAGAACCCCTCCTTGTCATCATTCATCATGCAAGCGGATGCTTTCCCATCACGCCCGGATCAAAAAAAAACGAGGCACTTTTCAATTTTCGCCCCAGTGCATACCACCACCACCAATTGAAAAGTGTCCCGTTTTTTTTTTGATCCGGGCGTGCCCATCTCCACGATTCAAGCATTGCATTCTATCCGAGACTGCCAAAAATCGCTTAACAAGCTCCAATGCTACATGGTGGCAAGGGCTGAGTCGGGGAGCCGTTTGTTGCCGCGATTGCCTCCCGTTTGTTCTCAGCTCGCGCTTGGCTCGGCCCCTGTCCTTGGCAAACGCTGGTTGCGCGTGGGCGAGCCGCTGGAGAGGCAAACCATACGCGTGCTGGGGGCCAAATGACACCCCAGACAACAAAACAGCAGGGTATCCCCTCCTTGCCACACAACGGCGCAGCGCACGTCAGCCCTGCCTCTCGCCTGTCCGGAGGAGGCGCCCGGTCCAGGCGGCTGGTGGAGAGGATGATGGGGGCTAAAGTGAATGGACCGTTGTTGGTTGGCTTGCAGCGCCCGCAGGCGCGCTCCAGCGTGTCGTGGGAACCGGCGGGATCCCTGCTGCGGATCCGGTCCGTGGACGCTCTCTGCAGGAGGAATTGACCAATAAAATGGCGAGTGCACTTCTTGGCGACCCCCTCGAGGCTGGGGTTCGGGTGCTGTTGGTGGCCCGCATCTGGTGGCGCCTCTTGGGACGCGGCCTGCTGGCCGCCCTCGGCCAGGGTCCCGGTGAATAATGAGATTGCTATGTGCTACTGAGGCGCGATGCATATAAGATGGCCGCCCCCCAAATCGTGATGGCTTCAGCATTTGCTATTTAGAGTGTGTCACTTGCTTGGCCTCACGTTCTGCCTTCAACTTAATAGCAAGGCCCCAAACCTAACACATAATGGTTCTCCCCATTCTACTCCTCGCCCTTGCCCCAGTGGCAGCGGGCAGCGTTCTGCCCCGGCAGCAGAACACTACCGCGTACTGCGGTATGGTCAGCACCGAGGCCAAGGCGCAGACCAAAGACGTCGCAACTGTGGCCCCTTCTGTGGCATTGAACTGCCTACACTCTATAGAGGTTGACACCGGGAGAGACGTCGGGCTTATTGACTAGTAAGCAACCAGACCCGCGGCCCCTGAGATGCGCACACCCATGCTGACGAGTCTTGCAACTTTCCCCTTGGATCCAGCCTTTCACCTTACCTCCAGGAGCTCAGCACTCTCGGCTACCTGAAGAGCCCGCCGCCTGGGTATTTGGTACCTGGAGTCGACCTGGCTGGCGCCCTGAGCGAGATGAGGAAGAAACTCGTCGACGGAAAGTATTCAAACCAATACCAGTTCATGAGCGAGCTTAGGGGTGTGGTAAGTATTATTGAAGGATCCGAACTGGCGATAATTAGCCTGGGGCAAGAGTGCTGATAAAAAAAACACAGTTCAATGCCGCTTCCGAGGGTCATTTGTTCTATCTCCCTGCCCTGCTTACCGCCCTCCAATTTCTTCGCGCCGTGCCTATCACATCGGTTTCCAGCGATGGAATTCAGCTTCCGAAGATCTACGCCGCGACGGATATCTCCAAGGGAGCTGGCGCTGGATTCACGCCTTCCGAGGTGATCGAGATCGACGGCGAACCGGTTCAGGCGGTGCTCCGCGCCGCCTCCTTTGAGGTTGCAAACCGAGACCCGGATTCCAAGTACAACGAGCTCTTCGAGAAAGGGACAAGGCCTGGCCACTTTGTCACCGGCTTGCGTGAACTTCGGGACAACACGACTTTCAAGTTTGCCAACAACACCATCCGCACTTTCCCCAACTATGCGGCCCTCGCCCGCGAAGAGATGCGCATCTGGAACAGCATAAACACCGGCGCGGACGTGCATCGGGTGTTTGAGCTTCCTGGCGGCGACGGCAGCGCAGAGAGCCTCGCGCACGCAAAACGCCATCTCGAAAACCCGCTGCTGGCCCACCAAAGGCCGCTTGACCGCCGCCAGTCCCCCACCGGCGCCCTGTCGGGGAAGGAGGAGATCGTGGAGAAGGACAAGTGGGGCACCACGTTTGGCATCTTCCTCGGAGGAGACAGCAAGTACCGCGACACATGTGTCCTGAGGGTCCTGACTTTCAGCCCTGATGCGAAGCTCAATGTCACTGATGCCATGCTCCGCGCCGAGATGCGGAGGCTGGTGAGGTCGCTGTCCAAGAAGTGCAAGGACAGCGGCCGCACCAAGCTCATCGTCGACTTGCAGGGTAACGGCGGCGGCGCCTTCTGGTCCGGTCTTGAAATGTATCGGAACCTCTTCCCCAAGTCTGAGGCGTTCCAGGCCATCAGGTGGCGCGCAACGCCGGCCATGCAGCACTACTCGAACAGCGTCTGGGGCACGAAGTTTGAGCTGGATCTCTGGGGCGGGGCCAAGACGATGAAGTTCACAAACTTCAGCAGCTCCGCCGACCTCTTCGGCCCCGACAAGACGGTCAAGCAGGACAGCGTTACCAACCGGGCCCTGGTGGACGCTAGGACGACCGATGACGGCGCCTTCACGTTGATGGGATTCGACACGTCCGACACCGGGGCGCCGCAGGAGCCGCCGTTCAAGCCCGAGGACGTCATAGTCGTCACCGACGGGGGCTGCGCGTCCACGTGCGCGGGCATCGCCGGCCTCATGACCAGGGAGGCCGGCGCCCGCTCCATCGCGCTGGGCGGGAGGCCGCAGGAGAGACCCATGCAGGCCATCGGCGGCACGCGCGGCGGCGAGGTCCGCCAGCTCGACTTTTTGAGGGAAATGGCGACCTCACCCACAATGCCGCCCGCGCCGTCGGGCGTCAAGCTGCACCCCGTCGCGAGCCCGCCCCTGGAGCCGACGGACCTGGCCGGGTCCGCCAGCATCAACTGGTACAACGAGTACCCGATCGGGGCGCCGGCGGACGCGCCGCCGCTGCAGTTCGTCTACGAGGCCGCGCACTGCCGGCGCTTCTTCCGGCCCGAGAACCTGCGCGACCCGCAGACGGTGTGGCAGGACGCCGCCGACGTGGCGTGGAGGGGCGCCAAGTGCGTCAAGGGCAGCACCGTCAACGCGGACCAGACCATGCCGGCCAGGGGCGGGCTCGAGAACACGCCCCCCTACTCGGACGCCGTCCGGTTCGAGGCAAAGTACACGGGGCCGGGCGCCGTCAACAACGGGGTGGCCCCGAGCGGGACGCCGCCCGTCTGGCGCGCCGGGAACGGGGCAGGGGCCACAGGCAGCGACGCCAAGAAGGACGCCGCCGGGTCGCTCAGGGCCTCGGCCGTGGCTGTCATGGCCGCTGCCGCTGCCGCCGCGGCGATGCTGCTGGCTTAATCACGAAGCGAATGATGACTTTTTACATATAGCAAGCGTGGTTTAGAATTTCTTATAGCCATAATGGATAATCCGTACTCTGCCAAGGACGTCCTTGTTTGATTCGTCACAACGTTAATGCCCTGTCTGATTATAGATAAACGATCATGAAAACACCCCTTCGCCGAGACCGTAACTCCTCTGTTGCCGTGGCCAGAAAATGGGAGACATTGGGCTTTCAGTCCTGCTTGAACGAGCTGTCACGCAGATTCGACACGAGAAATAAGGCATCCGTTGTGAATAACAGTGGGGCTAAAGGAGACGAGGACCCTGCAGGCAGCGCTGCGCCTTCATTCCACTAACCAAAAACAACGCGCGACCACAACACGGAACATGTATGGATGTCAGCTGCAAGGCTCTCCAGACGCCGCAAAACGAACCATGCTGGATCCCACACTCTGGCGCGCGCTTCCTGTTGTAAAGATCGTCTTGCCACCGTGTCCCGCTGAGTGCTGTCGGGTGCACATCCACAGATCTCACGCCATCGGCAAATCGCAACGGGCTTCTATTTCAGGGTCCTCTAACAGCGCGCCTTTGGCTCAATGTCTGTTACCCAACAACTCCCAAGGGGATAGCGGCCACCAACAACCATGTGTTTCGCCGCGCGCAGGATCGCGGTGGTGTCAGCCCTCCCCGGGTGAGTCAGCAATGCCCTGGACGCTCCCAGCTCGATCTGGGGATGGCATCGAGTCACCCCGGCCAGCCCTGGCATTAGCTGCGAGCTATCCAAGGGGCTGAGCCGCTGCATACATCAATTATATTAGCGCCAAAAAAAGTATTTAGCTTGTCTCAACCGCCCTCTCCTCTCCCCATTTCCATCTTCTCTACCGAACAACATTGCTTGGTTTCTTCTCGCGAGAGAGCAGCTAACTCGTCCTCCTGGGCTCTACTCTTGGTATAGTCACGAACCGCAACCATGGCGAGCACGGCGAGGGAGGCAGAGGGTGTGCAAGACCCCAACGGGATGCCGTACGACCTCATGATACTCACAGATGCTACCGCTTCCATGGGCGACTATCTCGAGTCCCTTTCCAAGTCCCTGCCCGAGATCATCCGGATCTCGGCCCTGACCGGCTGCTTCTCTCGCATCGGCGTCCTGGCGTACCGCGACTATTGCGATGTCAGGCTGATCGAGTGGTCCAAGTGGTATCTCGTGGACGGGGCCGTGGAGCCCGGCCACACAGTCTCAAGCACCGATCTCCTCGTCTTCGCCCGCTCTCTCTCCCCTCAAGGCGGTGGCGACTGGCCCGAGGCGGCAAAGACGGGCCTTGCAGCGGCGTACCAACATATGAGGGCGGAGGCCAAGACCATGTGAGTTCAGCATCTATCCTCATGTCTGGTCCCGCACCGCTCCAGCCCTCACTGACCATTGTGTTCAAACGCGAAAGCATGCTCCTTTTTGCCGACGCCCCTCCGCACACTGCGGCCACCAAAGGCGGCAATTGGGAAAAAGAGAAGAGCACCCTTGGGGATAAGGATTCGTACGGTGGGACGGGCAATCTGTTCGTAGACTGGATACAGGCAGCACACATGCTCCGCACAGGCCCCAAGGCATGCAAGGTCTTCAGTATTATCGGCAGCCACCTCGAAGACACCCTGGGTACATTCACGCTGCTTTCATCTCGCACCAGGGGCACCTGCCTGCGAGTCCCGGTGGATAAGATCACGGCAGCCTTCATCACGGAGCTCACCGTCGACACCCTCCTGGCGTGGATGGGCATCAAGAAGGACCGGGGGGCAGCCAACGCCGGCAGCGACAAGACCGCCGCCAAGAGCACCGAGACCATCGTCGTGACTTACAAGCACAAGAAGAACCTGGCCGAGCTCACTGGCGAGGACGACGAGGCGTCGAGCCGTTTCATGGTCTGGCGCGACAAGCCCGAGTATACCGGCAAGGTCAAGGACAACATGCTATATACCACGATCGCGCTGGACCAGCTCCATGACCACGTCCACCCCCGCCCCGCCATGGAAGCGTTTTCGAAGCGGTACGTGGCCGACCCGGCCTATCGCGAGCTCGTGGTCGAGCACCTGCGCGCCATCATCGCCACCGACGCGACCGCCATGACCGTGAACCCGGTGTTTGGCAGCCTGTGGCGCACCGTCTGCAACGACAGGGGCAATCCTGCCCGCGACGAGCTGGTGACGGCCTTTGGCGCGGCCGTAGATCGCATAAAGACAGCCGCCGCCACCGCCGCCGCTGCCGAAGGCGCCACAGCTCCCAAGTCCCGCTTGGAGGCATGGCTTGAGGGTTCGTACGACTACGCTTCTGAGATTGCCGAGCTTGTGGAGAGCGTTCCTGAAGAGCAGCGGTTCCCGTGCCTCTACCTCGATCCGACCCTCGACTTCCAGAAGATGGCAGCGGCGGACAAATCCGACGACGAGGATGATGACAGGGCCGGGCTCTCGTTCACGCGGGATGAGCTCTTGGAGATCGGGAGGTCGTGCGATTACCGGATCCTCCGACGCCTAGGCAGGATCCTGACATGCCTATCGTTCGCACAAACCAAGGAGGAGCTCCCGGCGCATATCGCGTCCGCTCCCCAGGATCAGGTCCCGCGGATTCCCCTGGCGCTGGCCCGGGAGGAGCACAGCCGCAAGCTTTGGAGGGTCCTGCTGCACGCCGTCCTCCCCGGTACGATGCTCGGGGCCCGCCCGGCGGCCTTGCTCGCTGCGCTCAGCATCCGCATGGGAATCACGCCGCTGCAGGAGGTCGCAGAGGTCGAGATGTCCATGTGGACAGGCCGGTGGAACACGATGGACTTTCCCGAAACCTGGAACGTTAGCTGTCTGAATCTGCTGTTGGAAGCTGACGCCGAGGTGCGAAGGCGCAAGATGGCGACGGCCTCGATCCTCAAAGACACGGACCGCGCCCTGTTCCGTGCCCTCGTGGACTACAAGATGCTCGAGTTCAACATGGCCACCACCCTCAAGGCCAAGGTCGGCTGGCGCCCGGACAAGACCCGATCGCCCATGGGTCCTTTTGTCAAGTGCAAGAGGTGCAAGCTTCCACGGTCTGTCACCGTGATGGGCGAGAAGGGGACCTGTGGAATGTGCTTGTCCGAGTACAAGACGAAGGAAGAAAGGGAGCAGTGCATCATGGGCTTCGCGGGGCTGTCACCCGACAGCTGTGAGGAGATGCCCCTAGCGTGGGTCGAGTGCGGCGTGCGGCAGTGTCGCGCCCAGTATGTCGTTTACAACACGGGCATGCTGAACGTGAAGCCCAAGTGCCACTACTGCAGGGTGAAGGAGCAGCTGCCCCCGGCGGCGAAGCAGAAAGCCGTCTCGACGGCGCACCTTGTCGAGTGCAAGAAGTGTCTGAGTCGCATCATCTGGCCCGAGGAGTACCGTCCCGCGGGCTTCGCGCCGGCCGACTATGAATGTCCGGCCTGCACGCACGGCAAGGTCGACACGATTGTGGAGACGGAGACCACAGCCAAGGATCTGACGGCGGAGAATGGGTCGGCATGGCTGCTCCGCAACGACGGTGGCAAGATCCCGGCCGCGTTCGGCGGCGGGTCGATGTACAAGCTGGTGACTAGCCTCAAGGACGGCACGGCTGGATTTTCCAAGCAGGTCGAGATCCTCCCGGGAGTCGCAGACTACGCGAGGGACGGCTTGGCATCCAAGACAGCCGGACTCGCCATCTCCAAAAAGCCGGACCAGAACACAAAGATAGCCGAGAGCGGCCACAAGCCGACAGCGGTGGTGCCGCAGCTGACCATCCAGGGCAAGCACGTGCACAACACCCCCGAGGTCCTCACCTCGCTCGCCTCCTGGGTCCTCTCCCGGCGCGCCGAGTCGGGCCTCTGCACCCTCTGCTTCTCCAGCACCCGCAAGGACCTGCTCCGCCTGGCCTGCGGCGGCCGCTCGGGCTGCCGCCAGCGCGTGTGCGCGCCCTGCCACGCCGCCTGGTACGGCCAGAACCGCGCCGGCGCCATCCTGAACCTGGCTGCCCTCGACTGCCCCTTCTGCCGTCGCCGCCCCACGCCCGCCGCCGTCCCCGCCGCCGTCGCCTCCCTCGCCGGCCTGCGCGACGCCGTCGCCGAGCGC